TTCCACCTACTGAGTGGTTTCCCACGATTTCGAGCCAATTTTCATCTGGCCCTCTCTCCGTAAATCCATAGACAGCCCGACAGGCAAGAAGCCTGAGCATTCTGAACATGCGACCCAAAGTTGAAGACATATGCTCTCCTTCATCCCTGTTGATTTGTGTTTTAGCTTTGACCTTTGGATTACTCCAATTTCTGGGGCACAGATGCAATTCAGGTGAATGTTATTCATTTTACCAACACCAGGAATCATTTCATCCTGGCATTCTTCAAAGCCACTCGCTCTCAGGCCAAAATTTCCAAAGACCCTGATTCCCTCTCTGAAGGAATCTCTGTGGGACCACATGCAGACCTTTTCTGGGCACAATGGACAAGAAATTGCCAGCCTTAAGTCAAAGGGACTTGGCACATCGTACAGCGTTTTCTATCCCCTCACACCTAAAGGGTTCCTGAACAGGTGGTGCAACGAATTAAGAGGTACCAGACGGACAACTTAAATAAGTTCAAATCTAGATGTGCTGCAGAGGAGACTTCAGTCCTATGAAGGGTCGCGTACTCCCCACTTGTTGGTTGGCCCACTTAGAGCAGTCTTTTTCTTGCAGCTGCACATGATGGGAATCGAGACAAGTTGATTTTACTCTTCGCTTCTGTCAAGGCCTCAGCCTGTCCACTGTCCAGCACTGTCGAATTGCCTAGTACTATCGACCAAAGGCTATGAAGGGCAGACTGTGTTTTGAAACTTGTCAAGTCCATCTATGGCAACCGATTCACCTAAATTATTTATGAGCATCTATGTCGCGGGATGATCAACCTTGGTTTCGAAACCTCGGCACAGACCCTATGTTTGTTTATTCATAAGGGCATCAACTCATGGTATTAAATATTGTGATGACCAAATCGGCTCTCCAGACAATGATCTGTTGAGTCTTATGTGGGGCAGCTCCAGAAACTGGATATGACCTCACCATGGAAGAAAAAAGTGACATCTTTGGATTCCTCGCATTAATTTTGAAGACGGGAGACAATGTTGACTTACTCAAAAAGGTCATCAATAAATCATCGATATACTGGTATGTCTGACGCTAGCAGAACTTTCCCTGCCGCCACCGATCCCTCGAGCTGACAACAGGGGGCCCCATTTGAAGACAAGTGGAGCTATCCAGCTGCAGTTGGATGCTGCTTTATATTGCGTCGAACACTCGCCCAGACTCACATTTAGTGTCACCAGTGGACGATTCAGTCACAATCCCAGGCTTTCCCATGCTCAAGCAATTCAAACGTATCATTCGGTATCTGATTGGCACAATTGACAAAGGCATTTGTTTTAGCCCTAAACTTGTCAGGGACTTGATTGTTGGTTCGATGCTGACTTCGCGGATTGTATGGATATGAGGATGATCAGGATCCTTGTCGTCAAGTCTCGCACTGGTATTGTCTTGACTTTGTTTGGGGCCCTATCATTGTCCAGCAAGCTACAGACTGCCATTACTCTAGCTCCACTGCTGCTGATATGTTGCCTTCAGCATGTAATAGGGAGCTGCTTCCTATGCGAGCTTTGCTCAAAGAAATTGAATAGCAAACTGAATATGCCGGTATAACTGACAGTCTCGTGCGCTCTACAGTGTTGAAGACAACCAAAGCTGTTTTCTTGTGAATGTTCCCAAATGTTGCGCGCAACAAGTATTGGCATTGAAGTACCACTTCTTCAGTTCAAATATCGGGGAGTCGAAGGCAATCGTGGCCAAGTATATTCCGACTTGGAACAACGGCCGACATTTCACTAAGGTCTTCCGGCTCCACAGTTTGCTGTCATTCGAAGCTCCTCATGGGATGGTAATTTACCTCAGCACTTGCTGGGGACTCTCTCCTATCGTTTCTTGCTCCAGCTTATTTCAGCTGTAAGGGAGTGCGACGGGATACAGCTTACAATTCCAGCTTTACAGCTTTACAATTAGCAGGCTTATTCTAGAAAATAACTAATCAATAACTGCTCACTTATTTGGAAATACAAACTTTACATCTCTTAGATCGTTAGATTAATCAATCCACAATGGTATTGTCGCATCCAGCACTCGGTCGGCCTAAGTGCATGCGTACAGTGAGTGCAGTAGAAAATTTCAGAACAACTCCCGGTACCGTAGCTATTGGCTGCTACACGATATACCGGTACGATATCTTTGGACTTACGTCGTAAATCATTCCTGCCATGGTGATCCGCTTGGGACGCTTCTCCTTCGTGCCGGTGCCGGTACCAGTGCTCTCTTCAGTGGACGTCATCGTCGATGCCTTTATACTGATAGCTCCAAATATCTGCGTGAAGCAGCCCATAAACTTTGGCTCGATCGAGATCGTTAAAATGACCTCGATCCACGGAGATGCAAATCTTTGGATCTTTGGATCTTTGGATTTATTTAAGCCAGTTCAGCTTTTTAAACACCTGCATCTTGGGTCCAGAAGTCTTGGTACGATCAATTGCAACAGCATTCCAGAGCGTCTGGACTTGATTACCAGCTAGACTAGTACCGGTAGCTTTGGATCATTGGCTGTAGTTACGTACATGTACCGTATTTAATTTTAAAAGGTGGCAGTCAGAACAAACCACGTTGTGGCTTCCGTGATTCCTGCACCATTGCTTGAGAGAAAGTTGCTGCATCGGAAGACAACCACAGGCACAGAAATCGAATCGAATGAATCGTTCGAATAATTGGAACTGATCGATCATTCGATTCGAGTCGAGTCGAATCTTGTGGATGAGGAAAGATACTTTATGCACGTTTCAATGTCTTTGGATTTATCCTCATTTTTGTGCCTCCCACGGTCGCGAGGGAATTTCTGTGGTTCTGCTGTCAAAGAACAAATAGGTTTTGTTGCGTTTGTTGTATACATACACATCAGGCAGGGTAATCTTGCAATACATGTCATTTGTATCCACTAGCTTGTGAGAGTGCCAAGTCACGATGAGTTGTCTGCTTGCCTTCAAAAGTGGAGCCGGCAAACATGGACGCCTCGTGGCATCCACTGTTGTTTTCAGGAGATTTCTCTCGTCTCCCGTGGAATCTCCGTCTACTATTAATAGCGCAGCTCCCTATCTGACTGGTCAGGACCTCAAACTCGAAAACAAGAGTCCAACAGTTGAAAGGCGTGTGAGGAATGAAGTATCTCGGTATTCTGTTGGGGTTCCCTTGGAAGAGTCGCTCAGCCCGCCTAGTTCTTGGTACAAAGACCCTCAGATCTTTCAGTTGGAACAGGAAGCTGTCTTTCTGGACAACCGGAACAACTGGGTGGCTGTCACGGCATTGGATACTTCCTCCGCGAGTACCAGTACCAGTACTCGTAAGCCAGGCTTTTACCAGACAGGCACTTTCTTGGGTCAACCTTATCTGCTCACTCGCAACCAAAAAGGAACGTTGCAAGCTTTCTACAATGTTTGCACGCACATGGGCAGTTGTCTTGTTGGACCGTGGACAAACCAATGCCACAGTAGTAGTAGTGCTAGTAGCAAAATCAGCTTGACGTCTAGTCTTGTGGGACAGTCTACCCAAGGAAATCTTACCAAACGGGCAAATGCACAGACTTCCTTTCAATGCCCTTATCACGGATGGCAGTTCAATCTGGATGGACGGCTCACAAAAGCTACGCATGTCAAGGGAATACAGAACTTTCGAGCCAAGGACTTTAGCCTCAAACAGATACCGCTCAAGCAGGTCGGACCCGTTGTCTTTCTCAACTTTGCTGCAGCTGGCAACAAACAAGTAGATGGCTATGACGGTAGTAATGGTCACAAAGACTTGTTTGATCAAAGTCGAAGCTTGTTCTTGGACCGGTTGGGTCAAAATGGATTTCTTCCCGATCTATCCAACATGAAACTCGTCAAGACCAAACAGTACACGGTCAAAGTAAGCTGTTACTTGAATGCAAAATGAAACTATCACCTCATCATTGCTCCCTTTTTGCTTTTTAATTGAGTTGTCATCTTACACGTGCGGTTAATATCCCCCTTTCCAATGATTGAATTCAATTACGACATGTATTATTTTAAATTAATAGTGCAACTGGAAAGTGTTTTGCGACAACTACGGTGACGGGTGCTACCATTGCTCCTTTGCCCATGCCGATTTGGCTGCCAACATTGACGAAACCAATTACTCCACCGAAATCTTGTCGCCGCACTTGACCATTCAGCAAGCGCCGCCAAGCGATGCAGATGATGAACGATTTGGAACCAAAACAGCAATCTACGCGCAGTGGTATCCCAATATCATGCTCAATCGGTACGGCCCGTGGCTCGATTTGGACCTCGTTACCCCCCTCGACGTGGCCACGACGCAAGTCACGAAGGCGTGGTTCCTCGAAACTGACTATCCAGTGCCTTCGGCAACCTATCTAGACACAAGTCTCCAAAGCAGCGAACAGGTTCATGAAGAAGACGTCTTTTTGTGCGAAAATGTTCAACTGGGGTTGCAGAGTCGGGGATTTGAGGCTGGAAGATACGTACCCTCCAAGCAGATTGCAACCTATCACTTTCACCAGCGCCTAGCTACAGACCTGCGTCTTCACTGCCTATCATGATTTTAAAAAGTACCCCTGCAATAAATCGAAGCAGAAACCAGACGTCCAATCAAGCAGCTCGACAATCATCTGGCTGCAGTCTGCAGTCTATCTTTGGTTGTGAGACCCTACCGGTAAAACCTGCCTCTACCGTACCACGGATGACGGAGATACATGTAGCCTACAGCCTACAGATATAGATGTAGACAATGGAGATAGAATCTAAAACGTCGTGTTTACCAGCAGCCGCATCCCAATATGCTCTTTAGAAGCAAGGTCATGCAAGCCAGGTCCCACTTGTGGCGGGAGGAATAGATCTAGTCTGGAATAGAAGAGCAAGTATGAACACCGTGACATTTTGTCTACCGTACACAGACCTATCTGTGATAGCACCGACTGCCTAGGATGATTGAATTCAGGACCTTTAAGCCTCTGAATGAGGCAACCAAATTATTTACCAGTTTTTGAGATGCTTGTGGCCAGGGAAGACAACTACGAGTACATGTGCGAGTAACTGGCGTCAACTGGTTCATGCTTTACTAGCTAGCTAGCTACTAGTAGTAGTTACGCCCCATACATGAGCTAGTAGTTAGATCATCATTCGCGCGAAGGAATCTTGGGCTTATGTCATTACGACGTTGACTACTGTATCTGAAGTTCCTTTTTCGTTCTTTACTGTCTATTTCCGGTTAGTACAGTACTATGGTCTATGGTCGGACTGAACTCATGGATCTGTTTTGGAACCATGGATTCTGGCTGTCTGTCAAGTCAACAGATAGATGATGGTGTCCCGTTCAAGTCGGTTTCAGCCCTTCCTGTTCGGAATACAAGCTTCCCCGGAAGCGAAGCGAACCGGAGATGAGATTCAAGGTTGGGAAGTTGCATGCTGGATCTGCATGGTGTGTTGGGGTTTGAGTTCGCATGCAACATATTCGCAGCTTGATCCCTTCCACCTGCCTTTGCTTGGATGACTTGGATGCAACAAATAAATGCTCATTTTTCTGTTCAGCTCAGTTCCAATCCTTTGTCCGTTTTGATTTTGATTTTGAAAGCAACATGTTCTTCAACAGTGATCCTACCAAGAAGTTGATTCTCAACAATCATACCTTCACCAAGCATCATGACTGCAGCAAGGATGGATCTGAACCCCAATTCAAGGACAAGTACGAACTCTGTGAGAAGATCAGCGGATTGCCCCGCACGTACAAGTGCATCTGCAGGGCCACCAAGGATCCTCGCTCTGTCAAGATTGTTCCCCGCAAATTGGAAAAGCGCTTCTGGAAGGAATTGTCTATCCTCAAGGCCATGGAGAATGGTTGCTTCCCACGTGTCTTTGAGAGCTTTGAAGACAACACGCACTTGTTCTTTGTCTTTGAGCGCACAGACAACTTGTACAATCTTATTGAAGCGGTTCACAAGGTGGCACAAGTCAAGCACTACTCAGAAAAGGATGTCTCCAGAGTCCTGTTGGTTCTCTTGAAAGCATTGGACTACTCTCACACCTTGCACGTTAAAAACTCGGACTCGCAATCTGTAGCCATTTCACATGGTCTCATCAATCCAAAGAACATTCTCGTTACCGTCAATGAGGAAAACCCAGACGAAATCCTCGAATCCTTCCACCTGGTCAACTTTGAAGGGGCAGAAGTGTATTCGCTGCACTCGAATGGAGATATTGATCTTGGCATGGACTCGTCGGAGAAGGCGCTGCTTTCCATTGATACGGAACCCATGACAGACAGCGAGAGTGACAGCGAGAGTGACAGCGAGAGTGATAATGGCACCCAGAAAAAACGAAAAAAGTCACATTTCCATTCCCCCGAGTACTACGAGCAAGGAGCTACACCCAAGGGAGATATCTACTCTCTGGGAGTGCTGGCATACTACTTGATCACAGGAACCTACCCTTTCAAGACTCTTCCCAAGAGAGGATCCAAGGACCTTCCGAACAAAATTGACTACAGTGGAATCAAGAGTCCCGACATCAAGAAGTTCATCCATTATGCCCTCCATGTGGACCCTGCCAAGAGACCTTCCGCAAAGCAGTGTCTCAAAAACGAAAATTTCAACCTGGCAGATACATTTACCGAAAATGAAGACGATCAATACCATGACAAGTTCATCAACCAAGATGTCCTTTCTCGCTTGACGACGGCTCGTATGCAGCACAAACTTCAAGATGCTGTTACGTACTACATTGCAAACTACTTAACCTATGAGAGTGAAGCTGCCATGGTTGGGCTAGCAACTACCTTCCGCATGATGGACACAAACAGAGACGGAGTATTGACAGAACAAGAAATCGCCAACAGTCTCAGTTCTGTCAACATACACTTCTCGGATCAGGAATTGAAACAAGTCATGGAACGGATGGACCTTGACAAAGATGGAACTGTCGACTTGAAAGAGTTCTTGTCCACTGCTGCTGACACAGCCTCTTTGATGAGCGAACACAAGCTACGGGCAGCTTTTGATGAATTCGATGTTTCCAAGACTGGCTTTGTTACTGCCAATGACCTCAAGACCTTGTTCAATGGATCTGGGCCTGATGAACAAGTCATCTCTACGAAGGCTGCCAAAGCTATGATCGCCAAGGCTGATATAACCAAGGATGGAAAGCTATCTTATGAAGAATTCCGTGCCATGATGTGGGCCAGTCGGGTGACCAAACCCAAGGCTACGAAGAACCACCAGGCTCCTACTCCCGACATTGATTGTGCTGTTCAGGCCAAGTTGGCCAAAGAATTTGCCGAAAAGATGAGATTCGAGCGTCAACAGCACCTTGCCGGTTTTTGGTAGACTTGTTTGTGTTTCTTGCGTGCAATGTCATGCGTGAAGTTTCGCCTTTAGTGAGCCCAATGATTCTGTTTGAGTTGTCAGTGATTTTGTGGTGGCTGCGGCGGTGGCATGATACCGGTACGGTGGCAGGAGTCTAGATATGGGATTCCCTTCTCCCTCTGTTGCGGTGGCTGCAGCCACACGGCAACTAGGAACAATTAACCTGACGATCGACAACAGGGTATGAGCGTAGTAATTTTATTAAATTTTTCATGTAAGGCAAGAGAGTCTTTGCGCTTGGATCCTTCTAATTTTGTCATGTTTTCGTGCCCTATTGTGGAACGGGGGCTCGTGCTTGATTGCCCGGACAAAGGTTCGGTCCCATTTGGGACCAGGAGTCCTGAGCGCCGGGGGTGCAATGTGTGTTGCTTGGAAATCCAATCCAACGGCCAAACGCTTCCAAAGGCCAAAATTTGGATGATCTCACGAAAAAGTTGTGTCAAGGTGCCGACATGAAGAAGCTCCATGGTTGCAGCACGATACGAAGAGGTAGCGCCATCATCCATCATTGGGAATTTGTTATCTTGACTTTTGTGAGAGTGGAGCTGCCTTGCTCTTTCAACATTTCGTAAGGACGAAACAACCGCGACGCACCCGAGAGATACTTACACCTATACGCAATCCATCCTTGGTATCATACACTAGGCATCATGCGCAATGGGTTCCAGTGGAGGCGCAGTAGCCTTCTTTCAGGGTTTTTGTTGGTGCTTCTATCAGTCGGCAGCGTGAACTCCTTCGGTCGACCTCGCCATGACCCCATCAAGCGCCCTGCCGCCGCAACGAGTGGCCGAAAAAATGTCCGAGAAAGCGACGTCGTTGGCCCCAGGAGCGGTCGAAGTGGTGTACGGACCAGTCTTCATCACGACGAGGAAGAGGAAGATGGAGGTGTTGGTCGAAAAACCCACCGCGAATCCTTCTTTCGCAGCAGCAAGACAAACAGCAACGGCAATGCAGCCAAGCCACCTCGGAAGATTGAACCAGAAAAGACCGAACCGGGAACAAAAGACGCAACCGACTTGGAAGTGACGACACGAAGCAGCGACAGCCAATTCCATGCCACTCGCACAGAGAATGGTGGCTCAGGGGCCATACTTACGCGACACAACCATGCCGCCAGCTCCAACGCAATTGTATCGGTAGAACCAAAAAAAGACAGAACTGCGGGACTAGGAAGAACTTCTTCAGCGGGTGGCACGAGCAGCGGCAATCCCGGTCCAACCAGCAGTAACACCAAAGGCGAACGACGGGGTAGACCTGGACAAAGTCGAGCCTTTGGCCACGGAAGTAATAACCAACGCAATATTCACCTTGGAAATCGCGATAACGACGACAATCGAAAGACGCGTCGCGGTCTCAAAGCCCGGGGTGGTGTGGGCAGTCTCCAAGTCAAACCTAATGCCGTCAAAGCGGGCAAGAGAGCGGTTGGTTCCGGATCCCCCATTGACTGTTTAGAGCGAGCGGGAAAGAAATGCAAGCGAGGAGGTGGTAAGTATATTCGTTCAATATTTATTTATGGGTAGGAAATGTGTCCGGCTGCACTTTTGATTTCAGTCTGTTCCTCACATTACCATTTGGACTCCTCTTTCATCCTCTCATTCGTACATGTTGGGGTTTCAGGGGAACAGAGAGCAGGAGAAGTACGAGGACCAACATTGACGCAGGAAGGCGGTGAGGAAAAGCTGGTCGAACCAGATTTCTCGTTGGCAGAAGAAGACGCCGATGAGGTCCGGCAGGAACTTTCTTCATCTACAATTGCGTGGATCCACAATGTGGGGGGTACTGTAGACGACGCCAGTAAGCGATTCTATGGAAGTTCTTCGTCCACCAAAACCGAATCGACGGCATCTGGAACAACGGACCAGTCGGCTGGCCTCGTGGAAGTCGATGCAACTGGGGAAGAAGTGGATGAGAACGAAATTGCCGAAGATCGAAAGGGCAAAGACGTAACCGTTGAGGTCTCTGAGTTTACTCCACGGGCCATTCCCAACCGGTATGGAGGAGTTCATAATCAGCACTCTACCTACATTGGCCAAAACACTCAACAAGGGCAAATTCAGCAGACTGGCAACCAAGGCCAGCAATTACCTTACGTGAATCCCAACTCCCAAGGCCAACAGGGTGGCAACCAAAACCAAGACTTCACCAGTTTCCAGTCCGGCAACCAAATGCAAAACTATGCCTACCCCCTTCCAAGCAACCCCAACGAGCAAAATCAAAATCAACAGCAGGCCAGCACCCAGAGCCAAACTGTACAATCAGCAACAGGAGGACAAGGGGGGCAAGGAGGGCAAGCTGCGGGAGACCAACCGGCTTGGGTGGCTGGCTACTACCAGCAGAAAGGTTCCATTTACTCAGATCACCCAGCAGAAGAGTCTACTGCTCAAGAGCAACCACAGGTGAGTTTAAAAAATTGTAGTATTGTTAAACATTCTTGCTTCTTGTCATCATTCTCAACCTGTCTGCTACGAATCTGAAAAAGAACGTTGGTGCATCGGGCGGTGCTTCAGGTTCTGGAACCCAGTTACAGTCGGTAAGCTCTGTAACAGCGGCCGTTCAGAGTACCAATTCTCAACAACCTGAAGCAACCGAAACTGAAACATCTGCGGCAGAGGACACTGGTAGTGGTTTTGACCCAGACGGCCCTCCTGGGGACTCTAGTGCAAATGCGTACGAGTTCTACAAGGAATGGTTCCAGGATATTGATGAAATGGACACTGGTGGGGACGGAGGCGAAGGCGATGGCTCAGATGTTGGGTTCTATGCTGAAGACGACGGCACAAACCAAGATGCTTTTTTTGACGAGGATGATGAAGTCGACGAAAACGTGGAAGGCGGCGATGGCACAGAGTCAGATTTTTCTTCCTTTTTTGATGACGAGGAAGATGAGGACTACGACGAGGATGGAGATGGAATGGGGGGAGGTCAAGGGGACATCGACCCCACCGCGTCAGTGGTTCCCGGACCCTATCTTTCGTTCTTTGGGAGCTCCACGTTGGCCCCCATTGTTTTTCCGTCAGAAAACGGCACAATAGAAGCAGCCGGTGCCACGCAAGTCACAGGAGATCTTAGCGGCAACAATCCAACGCTGGTGCCAGCAGGAATTGACCAAACGAACGGAAGCGCCCAGCCTCCATCGACAATAACAGGTACCGAAACAACTCTGCTGGAGCAAGACTCGACATCTACACTTCAAACTGAAGACGAAGGCGGCACAACCTTTTTTTACGAGACTGTTGCAGCATCTCCAGTGTACGTTGAAACAACAGGATTGTCGGATTTGCATGCGCACAAGGAGGAAGTGTTCCAAAGCCTAGAGCCATTGCTCAGTCGTCATTTGGAATCGTTGTTTGGCGAAAACTTCATCGAGAGTTACCAGATGACAATAACGTATGTTAGGTCCGAAGACTCGGTCCACCAGCTACGACGAGGATCAGATGCTAAGACCTTTGTGACACAACTGGTTGTCTTCGTTGTGTTCCATTTGCGTACTCTGAGCGAGGATGACATATCCATCTTCACGGAAACGGTTGCATCCGAGGCAGTTGAGCAGTTCTTTGATGAATCCAACCCCGAGCTCAAGTCATTCCTTCGCATATTGAATGCCAAGGGGTTGAATGTCCGAGAAATCCACGCACAAGGCCAGCCTCATCCACCTAGAAACCATGCCATGGAGCATGGTATTTCTCACATAACGCCATCGAATACCACCGCACCACCTGAACCTGAAGCACTTGAGGAAGAAGCAGATGAGGGTGTATGGAGCTTCTTTACCAACCTCTTCGAAAGCGTTGGGCCGAGAGTTGCTATCATTGCTGCCGCTGCCAGTGGATTGTTTGTCGTGGTTGCGGTTGCTGCGGCTGTCTGCTACAATAAGAGTCGTCGTCGGCGTCTTGCCGGACGTGGGCGTTACATTCTCGACAGTGCCAGTGACGTCGCAAGCGAGTACGGATCCCGCGCTCAGCACTCGATTCAATCTATGAAATCAAGGATCCAGCATACCGGTAGTCGAGCCAGCGGATACTTGAGTTTTGGAACAAAATCGAGCAGCGGTTCCTCGGTGATGTCTGATGCTTCATCCAAACTGAGCTACATCCAACCCGCAGCTATTCAGCGGCGCAAGAACCGTGTCATCTCTGTACCACAGGAGGACGACACACCGCTACAAGGGCGCCAAGACGACGACTTTGGCATGGAGGGAAACAAACCCGAAAGCGTTTACGATATAGACATTGATGATGAAGACGACTTTCGGGGCGTACGCCACCAAGCGAAACACAAGAAACGTGAAATCGATATCGCGCAAGACGAAGACGAAGACGTCGACGAGGAAAGCGACAGTAGCGACAGCAGCGATGATGACACGATCAGCCGTCAGAGCAAACTGAGTTTAGATCGAATTTCTATTGCCAGAAGTTCCAAGAAGATCGCCGAGCCAGTGAGGAAGCTCAGGCCAGTCCAGGAGAGACGGGTTGAACCACCGAGAAAGCTCAAGGTCACTCAAAAGAACCGCGTAGAACCGGCAAGGAGAAAACAAAAAGTTGTCGACAAGAAGCGTTACATGCCTGCGGAGACGTTTGAGGATGATCATGATGATGACGAGTATGATGCTGCTGACCTGCACGACGATGAATTTGGAGCCGAACAAGGGAGTGTTCACATCCTGAAATCCGTTAGCAGGGCCAGCAGCCACAGCGAGAGTAGTCGCGGGGATCCCGACAGTTTTGTCAATAGTGTGCCTGTCTACGATGTAGAATCCATCGCGCAGTCGTCCATGACAAGCGCGTCCAAGAGCATCTACCGTCGCGACGCAGATGACTACCTGATGACGCAGAAATCCTTCGTCCCGCTTTCTCCTTTATCTTCACTACTGGCCGAAGCCATGGGCGAATCACCCAAGTCACTGACACACACCGCCAGTAGGCCTCGATCTCCACCCAGGGCTCGACGCCGCGGGATGGACCCCCCTCCGAGTCATTCCTACACCACTGACAACTACCACTACGGATATCGCATAACCCCTCCCTCGTCTATGCATGATATCATGCCTGATGAATACATAAACAAAAAGCGGTGGCAAGATGACGAAGAGGACACGACAGTGAATCTTCCGGATCATGTCTCCTCTGGAGCGACTCAATACTCAATGTCGACGAGACACTCGAACACCGAAAGCTCGTACATGTCAGGGATGACAACTGAGCGGCAGCTTGTGGTATACGAAGGCGAAGAACAGGGCAAGAACGAACATTATCGATACTAGCTAGCAAGCTTCAGTTCTTGGTTACAGCTCTGAGTGCGAGACGACAACTACTCGCATGCATGCTTGGAAGAGGGAACCACGGCGCCCCAAGCATGCACAAATACATCCCCGGCAAGCAAGCAAAAGAATCGAATCAAGAAAATTCCTGAAACTACCTTCCTACTTCCAAACGGATGGTCCTGCCAGCCAAATTCCATTTCATTAGACAATAAGGAGTTAGCTAGTAGTATGAAATGTATATCACTAACAATAGTAGGTGGTTACTTTTTGCCTCGGATGATCCATCATTGGATATTCTCTACGTTGCTTGTGTGTCCACCATTACAGAACCAGTTTGGGTTTGGCCGCACCCAGGTTTCTTTGGGCATGCTCGGAAATCTTTGTTCGTTTGAACGCATCCTATCTAGCTAGCTAGAAGGACGACATGGAATCAATAACGTACTGGCCCTTTCCGTCCTTCAACAGTTTGGATGTGTCCATGACGGTAGCAGTGACACCGACCTTGGAAGAACTTGTATTGGTAGCACCACTTTCAATTGTGTCATCGGGAAACAGCTTGTCTGGAAGCAAACCGCTGTTCTTGCTGTTCATGGTGGAATCTCCCAACCGATGATGCAAGTCCTGTATAGTGCTGTCAGCCGCATCCTTGGAGGACACGGATGTGGACCGAAGGGGTGGGCTTCCGACTTCATCCGAGGGCGCTGGCATGACGATTGGTTCTTCGTCTTCACGGCGGTCCTTGCTGCTGGATGCGCACGATGTCAATTGACCAATCGCCTTGCGGACACTCCCAGTGGTATTCTCACACCCGCCACCACTGTTGCTGGATGACGAAGCGATGGAGTTTTTCTTCTTGCGAGCACTCATCCCAAGGTAGGCCATGTTTCTCGCCTCGTGGTCTTCGGTTGTCGGAGCGTTGTCTGTGGGTGTGTTGGCTGGCTCGGTCTTGGGTTCCGCTGCCATGGGACTTTCGGCCGAAGAGGCAGCCGCAAACGAAACACGATCGGCATAGGAAATGCCACCACCCATGCTTGTCAAGGACAGGTTATCCGTTTCTTCATCGTAGCTCAGAGGATTTGTGCTGTCTCGTTTGATGGTGGAAATGGTCATGTTGCGAGGACTGATAAAATTGGCGTCTGGTGTCTTGACAGCTCCCGAGCTGGAAGAAGCAACGGGTCGAGACATGCTGGGACTAGCGGTTTGATCGTAGGTGTAGTTGGCATCCGGATGCACGTCGACTTCTTCATCCCCTTGATTGGTGATCCCATCAATGAGAGACCACATGGCCTTGGACTGGAGACTGGCATCATCATTTCCGTAGAGATAGGAGGGAGCCAAGCTGATACCACCGTTTCCATGCAAGTTGGAATCCAAGTAACTGTAGGTGGAGGTGGCCAAGGAGCGATCATCCGTCTCTGCCACGTATCGTTGGTAATAGCGGTTGGTTGGATCGTTGGTGGTTGTTTCCGCAGAACGTTCTGCCACGCTCTCCTCTTCTTTGACTCCCTTGCCTTTCTTGTTGCCTCTCAACGTGCGTCGTGACTTTTTGTTCTTGTTCTTGTCATTGTTGTTGTCGTCGCCTTCCGATCCCTCCTCTGTGCTGTGAGAAGGCTTAGTACTGGTCGGGAGGAGATTTAGTTCGTCCAACTGTTGCTGCTTGCGAATGGCCCGTAACTTCCAGCAAACACAGAGCAGCAAGAAGATGCTAAAGAGTGCAATGGAACCGGCAATAATGGCAAGCGTAGTGAGACTAAACTCGACGCCCCCAACGGACCATACTGTAGCGGCTTCCACATTGTCGTTGGGATTCGTGGACGATGCTGGATTGTTGGGTGGAATATTGGTATTGGTGGTATCCACGTTGTTGGTATTGCTGGCGAGTAGATCGAGTGGCAATCCCACTTCAATGTAGTCGGTGCGTTGCAAGATGGGATCGGAGGAAGTTTTGAGGCGTCGAACGTATCGGCGTAGCGCATTCCCATGAAAGGCAGCTTCCATTTGTTCTTCAATCGATTCGGGCCATTTGACTTGTGGCTGATTGACGACGACCGTGGTGGTGGTGGTCGCCTTGGCCGCCATGGCTCCATTGGAGGGTTCGAGTACGGATACAACTCCCGAGAGAGCTTCTGTTGCAACCATGGTTTCGTTTGGCAACAAGAAGGATCGTACGGACGTGAGGGATACATCAACGGCGACTTGTAGGGGTCCCTGTTGTTCGGCTCCTGGCTGTTGTTCCCACCAGAACGTGAGTGATCTTCGAATCTCCGTTTCGACATGAGAGGCAGTGACATCTTCTAGAACGTCTCGATCCATATGCATCCAAATCAAGTTTCTTCGCCTTGCGGGATCAATGAGGTACGTCATGACCATGGTTGGTATTTCGTAGATATGAGGTCCGGCAGGAGAGTATTCTTCCATGGGAGGCGTAATGGCAGGCAGGGTGACGGGAGGATACGTGCGAGTGGGTGCCTTGTCGGGCGTGGGCATTGGGACAAGTGGAGTGTTTGCTTGTACCGTGTTTACGGCTTCTTCCGTGAAATCATGGGTGTATTCATGATCTAAGTGTGGAATGGAGGTAATCTCTAGAGCGACCGCTGGAGTGGGCTCGGCAGATGGTTCAGACGTCACAGCAGCAGTGGGTTCCAGAGTGGGAATGCCAGTAATGGCATCAGTTGTGGTTTCGGATGGTGCTGGCGTCGGAGATTGTGTGGGAGAAGATGTGAGTTGGATGGGAGAGGAAGTGGGAGAGGTTGTCATTGCTTCAGAGGGCTGCTGGCTAGTAGGCCCCGTAGTGGTGACAGCCAAGGTGGAAGCATCGGCAGTGGGGGCAGTTGTATTGGAATCACTAGTGGTGGTGTTTGCAAGGGCCCCAAAAGGTAGCATTGTATGAATGGCTGATAAAACACAACACAAAACAAAGCATGAAAAAGAGACATGTGTATGTCAAGGGTTAGTTCAGGTTGGAGATGTCAATGATATAAGATGAAGAATGATAGTGTGGGTAACTTACTACCAGGAATGCTAGGAGTTGGGTCTGAAGGAGCCGGGGAAGGAGCTGTCGAAGGAGCCAATTCTCCATACAGAGTCATCCATAGGTAGCACGGTTCTTGCCAGTCTCTTAGGTCTTTCACCGTTTGGAATTCGAACTCTTCGTCTATGCAATGCTCTGGAATTTCGTCTTCATCTAGTTTGTCTAGAATCCACTCGTGAGTGTCCCAATCACACTGGACTGTCTTGTCCTTCCAAAAGGCTTCTTCCACCAGTTCAGGATCGCGGCAATGATACTCATCGTCTGGGAATTCGCCATTGTCCATATTATTATTAATATCGTTGTTGTTGTTCATGTTCATATTGTCCTTGACGTCATCAAAGAAATCATCGTCGGCGTCCTGCAAACCACGCAAATTGCCAGTAGAACCAGAAGAACCTCTACTAGTACTAGCCTGAGCCTTGAGCGATAACGAAAAGTAGCCTCCACTGATCTTCTTACTACTAGTAGTACTGACAGTACTACCACTCACTACCACTGAAGGCAGCAAAAGAAAGCAGACAAGAAATCGAGGTATCATGGTAGCAAGTATCAAAGACTATGGGTTCCGGTATATACCGATGGGTATGCAAGAGAAGAGAAGATGGGATAATGGCGTCAATGTCAGATCAATGGAGACAAGTGGAAACAATCTGAGTATAGTAGACTGAGTGCGGCACTTGCTGTGGATAACTGAAGGGATGGGTAGCCAACTATAGCTCTATCTAGTAGCTAGCTATCTAAAGTAAGTAAGTAAGGATGGCAATGACGATGGATTTGGTTGCCTTTCTCGAAGAGGCTTGCAGCCCAGAAAACAAAATGCCGCCAGAAACAAAGTTAGCGCCATTTCGAAATCCACATGGAGCCTGCCAGATGATCGACCATGCCAACATGTCTTCGTTCCAACAGTATCTAAGTATTTGAAAAATTGTCCTTTGGTGATTAGGACCTTTTGCGCAACGGATGGATGCCGCGAGCGGTCCTAAAAATTGGGCGTGACATAGCCAGTAAGGCTGGTATTACACCATTTTTCACATCACGGCGCTGCTGATTTGTGATCTGATTCTCGACGTCCCGTTGTGTCATTCTGGTACCTGGTACAACGCAACCGAATGGTGGATCTCGATCCCCATGTGCCCTCGAGACGGACCAAGCTATAGCTAGCCTTTGTCGGCAAACTTCATGGTACCGTACATGTACCGGTACGGGTGGGCCCTCATCAGCTACCGGTAGCTCGACGGGCCACAGTGACCACATCCATTGTGTGGTACCGCAACTCAAGACAAGTATAAATACGGTACCGGTAGCTTGAAGACCGTACGTGTACCTGTACATCACTCCATGACAGAGGTGGATCTCCAGCCCCACCAGCCATGGTGGGCCCAGCCAGAATCGAGTCGAGTGCAGAACTTATCCAGCAGAGCAACACCTGAAGGCTACCGTAGCCAGCTGCCTCACCTGCACTCGTATCTTGTACGCATTTCGCCAATTCGATTCGATTCGATTCCGAGGCGAAAAGAATGGGGGAAAATAGATACTGGTGGCTACTCCAGCAGTCCTGGCTACCTTACCGGTAGCTAGTACGAAAACGAAGACGCATTCATTATTAAATTATGACAGACCACCGTATCTGTATGATATGATATATCTGTGTCGGAACGAGCATTTCTGAGAATCAAGCATGCATGGAGTGCTTGTACTAGTAGATCACGTAGGATTTCTTGATTTCTTGTTTCGTGTAATCAATCATACATCCAACTTTGTGTTATGTGGTGACTTGTGGTTTCGCGCATTCCTGTATTGCATGTACATGTATATATGTAGTACGAAGATGTTTCTGTTTTCTTTTTTTGCTGACTTTGTGGTTGCACACTAACTATTAATAGTTAGACAAACTTGAGTTTCGCGGCTCCCCCCTTGGTGGCATTCTTGACCTTGTTGGTGGCATTCTTGCGAGCGCTGTTTAGCTGTTCTTGTTTGCGCAAGGAGTTGTATTTGGTGAATACGAGACGCTGCATTCCCAGTAGTACAATCCAAATGGTGAGTGGTACCTTGATCATTGCTTCCATAAAGACAAAGAGAATGGCAATAAGGAAGAATACTCCCAGGTAGAGCACCATTTGCAGCGTGGAAGTGTCCCTGTGGAGCGCCTTGTCTGCCAAAGCCTTCCAAAGTTCCAATCCAAGAGGAATTCCTTGTTCCGAGTATTCTTGGCAGTAGGGACTGTTGGGAGTGACAGCAGTACAGAAGAATCGAAAGGGAGACACAGAGATGTGTGTCAAGGAGTTGACATGTCTTTGCAAGAACGGGACCCTGGCAGCTAGTGGATAATCAATGTAGGTGGAGACTTGTACCAAGATTTGTTGGTTTTGATTTTGATTTTGATCCAACAAAAGCATGAATTTTCCAGTTGGAGTGAGAGGAGACATTTGTCCCTGAAGAGTGGTCTTGGCAATACTGGTGACCTTGACAAGTTGTCCATCAGGTGACTGGAGAGCATCCCCTACCTGGAGTTGATCTGCCCTGACAGGATCTTTGTTGCCTTGAACGTATACCAAATGATTGGGAGTGATTTCCATGGCATTTTCGGATTTGGAAGTTTTGATTTGAAGGAATTGCGTTTTTGTGTTTTTGTCAAAATGGCCCATGGCGTAGACAGTCTCGTACCGGTTCATGTACTGATACTGATTGTTGAAATCACTGTCTTGAGTCAAAATTTCAGATCCTACTGTCAAATCTTGAAGAGCCACAGGTCCCACTCCCTTGACCAAGACTAGACTGGAAGGACTAAAGCAACCGTCGGGGTTACCTCTATCTACAGTAGACTCTGTACCTCCTGACACACCACCACCAGGTCCATCTTCATCCAGCCTTCGAAGATTGCTAGTAGTAGCCTCAGCAGACACAGACAACACCAGCAACAACAGCAACAGAAGGGACTGGATCATCATCTTGCTCATCATCTTGCTCATTTTTTTGTTTTGTTTTTGTTGTGTTTGCTGTTTGTGTTGTGTCGAGTCCGTTTTTTATGAGCTTTCCTTCAGCTTTCGAGGGAATGGTACTTCTCTGGCGTACTGACGTACCGTGCGCCTGGACTTGCGTAGCAAAATGTACTACTATATTTTTTTTAAAGTGAGACCCTTGTAAAAGACAAGTTTCAGCGAGCAGAGCTCGAGCATCTGTTTTCTATTTAAAATTTTTGGTTGCCAACTTGCCAACTTCCGTTGACTCTCTCAAACTCTAAATGATTTCTTTACCCTTCTGCATCCCGTAACCAAGATCTTCTAAATAAATGAAGGCAAGACGTGGTAAAATACTGGTCGCAGTTTACGAGCCTGTTCCTTCGAAACAGTGTCACCATGTCATTTAATTAAAGCCTTACCCTTCTTCAAATATATATTGTATCCACGTCTTCGAATTGCCAAGATACAAGTATCCACGTCCTTAAACCCTAATGTGTACTGTTTGTTGGCGGCAACTGTGTTGGGTCGTTGATACAATAATAGCCCGAACTGAAGTAAATTTTGCTTGGAAAGGTTTACTATTCTAGTAATTTGAACCATTTTTACGGACGCACTATTTTTGGAGATGAAATTGGATCCGAGCCTCATCTTTGTTTCCTCCACCAACCCAAACCATCAAGCCGAGAGCTAAGCTGAGAGCAAAGCTAATACATGTAAGCCAAGCTGAGCTATCTGCATGATCAGACACCAGTAATCCACTCTGTGACTTGACTAAAGCTGAGCAAAGTTAGCCTAAGCTAGGTACCTTAAGTTACCTTTTATTGGTTTGATTAAGAAGAATAAGATGAGTGTGGATGTGGATGAGTTGGAAGAATGGGCAGCAATGGCGGCTGTCAGCACGGAAGGTTCCCTTCTTCAGATTCCACCTCCGTCTACTATTGCTGCTGATCCCAGACCAGGAGCTTTGTCTGTCCCTGGCGCTGCTGCCATGGCTTCTAATTCTCTTCAAAATCGAGACGTTTCCAATTTGACGTCAGAAGAAAAACAAGCCCTTCGAAAATCGCAACAAGAAATGGAAAAACAAGAAAATAATCGGCAATGGGCTGACATGGCGGCGGTCAGTACAGAAGATCATGAACTCATCACTGGTGGAAGCAGCTCTAATGAACCTGAACATGGCCAAGACTATGACATTCAACTCCCAATCATGACTGATGATATTCCAGATATTCCACCAAAATTAGAACCAGATGGTCACTATGGTACCACAGGTATTAATATTACCACAGGACCCACCGTCATGGGAGTAGAACCCATTGTGCCACTGGGGCCTACTGTCATGGGAGTAGAGACCACGGATACCGATACTACCAAATCAGCTCGGGACAAAAAAAAGGCATCACCAAAACTTTCAGGGGGCGTCAGACCGGGTGCTGTGTCCATCCCAGGTGGTGACAATGATCCCAATTCACTATTAGAAGAAGGAGACAATTCCAAAATGACACCAGAAGAAATGCAAGCACACAGAACGACACAAAATGGCTTGCGCAAAAAACAAGATACCCATCCTGCCGTACAGCGCACTCGTCAGTCACAAGCGGCAAGAAATGTGGCCACCGTGCCACACCTACGTCACGACACCCTCTCAGGAGGTGGGAGTGATCACGTTGTCCAGCAACAAGCCTCCTCCAATCAACAACAACGACGAAGATCGTCCACAGACACAAAACTCACAGAGGCCAAACGACGGGCTTCGGCCAAGAGTGCGGCGTCGCCTCTCAGCCATCACGCATCCATGCGCGGGAGCCGAAACGGCCAACAGAGCATGGATCAATCCGTCACCAGCTCCACCAACAGCAACAGCTCCATCACCAAGGGACTCAGAGGAACTCCAGACGCCGCACGACGACTCAGCTCTCGTTCCAGGCTTCCCGATGGTGGTGTGCACGTGCCATTGCCGGATCTTGATCCAGTCGGAACGTCCACGCAACATGATAATACTATTATTCACGAAGAAGCATCCGTGTTGTCGGGAACGTCCAAAAATACACGTAACACCATCGATCCACAGCCCAACGTTCCAGCCCCGACGTGGTCTCCGGGTGGCGATACTACTACGAATAACAGTCCAGCCGGATCCCCCACGCCAATGCCAGTACCCAACCACGACGAAGGCTTGGCTGTGGCCGATATGGTGCCAGATGAAGATTTCAATGACATGGAAGTGACTCCAGCGCAACCATACAATGTCGAACAGGCACAGCGAGATGCACAGCTGCGAAAACGGCAGCTACGAAAACGATACATCCTGGTAGTTGGGGTTCTGGCGTTGCTCATGATTGGAGGGGCTTTGGTCGTTGTCTTTGTCGTCATTGGTGTCGGTGGTGATACTACCACTACTGCCGTGGCTCCTGGGCCCGCAGTGGTGGGCGCCAGTAATGGCAATAACGCAACGCAAGCACCCACGCAATTGTCCACACTCTTTCCTCTTCCCGACTACACCATGAACATTATGGAACAAGACCCGTCGTCGCCACAAGCCAGAGCCTATCAATGGGTGATTGAGGATCCAGCGTTTGATACACATGAACTCTGGAGGTTGCATCAACGATTTGCCCTCGCCACATTCTTTTATTCCACAAATGGTCGAGAGTGGCAAAACAATGCCAATTGGCTCGATTACAACACGGATGAGTGTCGTTGGTGGTGGACCGGACGCAGGCTTCGGGAAACTCAATGCCTCTACAATGAAACCGTCAATCAGCACTATGAGTATCTCTACATGGAAGGAAACGATCTCGATGGAACGATACCACGGGAATTGGAATTGATGACCGAGGTGAGTTTTATTAGGCAGTGTTGCGAAGAGGGAGCAAAGCGAATTGGCACTCATGTTCGCTTTTTCTCATGCCTTTTTTCCAAAAATAAATTGCTTGCTGGCTGGCTGGATGCAGCTCCGGGAAATTCATTTTGGATCGAACTCTTTGAAGGGCACGATCCCAAATTCCTTTTTTGAATCCTTCATCCATCTTAAACGTTTCTTTGCGAATGTCAACGAATACTTGACAGGGACCATCCCGACCGAAGTTGGTTTGCTATCAAACACGCTTGAAATATTTTTCATGGGTGAGTTATCGATGTTCAATGTCCACTCCCAGAAATCCTGCCACACTCTCTTCTTCCTCTAACACCACCTTCCCTTCCTCAAGGCGCCATTGGCTTGAAGGGAAGAATCCCGACCGAACTAGGACGGCTGACGAAGCTCACGATTCTTAATATCCCGCGCTTTGCACATATGACTGGAACGCTTCCAACTGAAATAGGCTTGTGCACCAATATGAAAAACTTTTCCGCCTTCCTTAACCCAGAATTGACGGGCCCTCTGCCGTCTGAATATGGAGCCATGTCCCAGCTGGCAGGAATGTACTTTGGCGAGAACGCGTTTACAGGGGCGATCCCTTCTGGTTCGTAAAATTTGACTTGTTTTGAGTTAATTTTGGATGTGTGCGTGCATTGGTGTGCATTGCCTCTTCTGATACAGTGCTGTTTGTATGCTGCTCCTCCATCAGAGTATGGTCGAATGACGTCAAACAGGCGTCTTGTCCTGTATCACAACCAGCTCAATTCAACCATCCCCACGGAACTCGGGACCATGTCAAATTTGTTTGGTCTTTGGTTGGATCACAACTCGGATCTGAGCGGAACGATTCCAGCAGAGTTGGCACAAGTGAGCACCCTCAGCAGGATCTTGGTGAACAACGCCAGTCTATCTGGAACTGTCCCAACCGTGTTGGAGAACTTGGAGCAGACTTTGGAAGTGATGGATGTATCTGGCAACCAAGGAATCACCGGAGTGGTCCCAGAGGGATTGTGCAATGTGGCAGATGGTGTCCGCTGGATCAGTCGCGTTGCTGGCAGGCACATTGGAGAATTTAGTGATGGAAGCGATGAGTACCCTTTGCTGACATTTGATTGCTCTGCTTCTTTGTGTGGGTGTGGCCACTGCGGCTGCTCCGGTTTCTAGCCAGCCTTTTCTGGTCCTTGCTTGTGAGAATGATTCGGATGTGTAGAGTGATCCCTTTTGGAATTATTGTTGTGGTAGTAGGGATATGCCATTCCGGTCGGTAGATGTCTACTAAACTGTGCTGGCTAGTTATAGATTCATCATGAATCGAATCGAATCTGATAGACTAGGTGTGTAGTTTGCCATACTAGTACTATTATGCAGACCATTGTAACTGTGGTCAGTCATGGTCGTGTGCGGTCGACCATGGTCCTTTGTGGTCAAAGGGCAAGTATGGTATACATGTAAAGTCGAGGTTTCTTAAAAACCACTTCGACCGGCTTGACCCCTCCAGCCTGCCATTACCGCTCCAAGGGCCATTGCCCCAGGCTGTTGGCCCCCGCTAGCTTGTGTAGCTTTCCTTGCTGGTACTAGTACAAGCTCCAGGCAAACTTGTCGGTGGCTAGCTACCCGGTACCTACCTACGGTAGGGGGCACTGGGTGCTACCGGTAGTGGTAGCTATGTCAAACGCTGGGCTCTATTGGGGGCTGGGTGGAGGCAATTTGTCAAAAAATGTTTTTGGAACATTTGTATGGACGCTGAATTGTGATTTTGCTGTTGGACGTGCTTTGATATGCCATAGTGGTCGCTCGGTCGCTCGGACAAGCAACCATTTGTGTTGAATGGCTTATGAACATGGGCCGGGCTCCGACTGTTACGTCTACTCTAGCTAGTACTATTTTAGCTACTGACTATTACGCTAGGGCTACTTGAGTACTATAATTTTGCTTAGTAAACAAAAGAAGGCAATAATGCTGTCTTGGATATTTGTAAGAACGATGAAAACATGTCTCGGCAGCGTCTTACTTGCACTTAACGTAATAGGGTTCTTTTCTACAATCTGAATGTTTTAATTATATACAGTATTTCTTTTCTTTGTTTCGAGTGTTAAGTATCTTTGCCTCCATCAGTCTGTCATTTGAGTACCAGTACCAAACTTCAAGATGCCCAAGCAGCGAGCAGCAACAAGTGTCTCGATCTACGATCTTCGATCTTTTGGGGCCACAATTCTGTTGATCACCTCCCCACAAACCCCACCATCCTTCTGCTGTAGCAATTAATAGCTAAATACCAAACCATGACGCCCAAGACTTTCTTGTTCCTCGTCCTCTGTGCTCTCTTGTCTGTGTGTGCTTCTGCTGCTGCTGCTCCTGTGATTCCAGCAGAGCCTTCAGGTGCTAAAGCTGGAGCTGCCTCGCTTCGAGGTTCCTTGACTGAGTGGGAAAAAGTCAAGCGGCGTTTGGTTTGTACTGATCCTGGGTGCGAAACTGATGCAGGTGTAGCGCCCACACCGGTACGTTACGTTACGTTGCGTTGCGTTATTAATACTGTAGGTGTTCTTGGCTTCATTAATTAACCTATTGTTACCTGTGTGGTTTTTCAGGGTCCGGTTTGCTTCAGCGGAGAGACGACTGTGGAGGTTGCGGATGAAGGTCCCGTTCGATTGGAAGATTTGCGGATTGGATCGTTGGTCATGACAGCCGACAAGCAATACCAGAGAGTCTACGCATCGGCTCACTATGATCCCAAGAAAGAAGCAGAATTCCTTCAATTCAAGACATCCGAGTCGGATAACGCCATGGAAGTCACTGCAGATCATTTGGTATACGTTCAAGGCCAAAAATACCCAGTTAGAGCCTCGTCCATCAAGGTTGGGGATTCTCTCATTCACTATGAGATGCCCGTCCAGGTCACAGATATCAAGAAAATCACACGTACAGGAGTCTATGCCCCTTTGACTCCGGATGGAACCCTTTTGGTCAACGGAGGATACAAGGCGTCCAACTATGCCACTCCCACTGGACCTGACGAGGAAGGATACGATCCTCAGTTTGTAGAATTCCAAGGTTCCATTTCCTCGGGAATTTCTCAGCAATCCATGACACACTACCTCTTGGCACCTCTCAGGTTGTTGTGTTTGGGAATTGCGCCACAGCTCTGTCAAAATGAAGTCTTGTTGGACCAACAGGGATCGCCACACTACATCCAGTTCATGCTTGATTTGGCCAATCATGCCAGGGTACACTTCTCAGCTACAGCACAAGCCTTCATGATGATGATCTTTGTCATTGGATTGGCACCCTTTGCGCTGACAGAGGCAATGGTTGGGCCTGCTCTGGCTCCTTGGCTCTTGGCATTGATGGGATTTGCAATCTTTTACAAGCACAAGCAAAACCAAGCCAAGGCAAAGACTGCCTGAAATAAATAAATTGAGTGGAAGCAAACGTGAAAAGACGAGATTGATTGTAAGAATAATTTATAACCCCGTCCATATTGTGTACACCGCGGATGGTGGTCGTGGGACCTCCTCCGCCCGACAATGCCACGAACACAATATTTCGGCCCATTTTCGTCCGCCCCAGGCATCGTTGCGGCACTGTTTTGACGATCGAATGATGCGGAGCTCGGGCGATAACGCCAACCGATTAGCTCGTCGGGCTCCTCTCCTGTCATGTCATTTCTGGGCGACACGAACAGCCAGCTCGTCGGCGAGCGAATTAGAGACACACAGACACAGTGCAGGAGCATCCATGCAAGGCTGGTGGGCTCCAGTGCATTTTTTTCGCTGGAGGGTCAAGCAACTCCCACGCCCACTTCCTCGCTAAGACTACTCTACTGCTGGAATAGCTCGGCAGGTCATCATCTTCATGCAAACCTGGCCATCTTTCATACAAACCTGGCCATCGCGATCCAAAGGTGCTGCTTAGCCACTCGGTCAAGGGAAGACTATGCCGCAGTAGCTGCGGATTTAGAAAATCTTGAAGTCCAGCTTGATCTTGCCAATCTGAGGACCTGGTTTCCAAACAACCAACAAGCAGCTTATTGGACTCCTCGTTCTTCCTTTGACTTTGCCCCTGTCAAAGACTCTACATGCGCACCTGCCTGTCACAAGCTGACCTACTCTGAACTGCAGCAAGAGCTAGACAACTGCCCTCCCTTTCACATTTCCAGGACTAAAAGTGATGTCAATGTCGCCATTGTTATTCCTTCCCAGCAAATGGCGAAATTGGCAACCGCTATTCTCGCCGCCATGGCTCAAGATGATGTGGCTGTGCCCCTTGATCCTCGTATGCCTCCTACACGATTGGTGGAAGCCATGCAACAGCTGCATTGCCAAGTATTGGTGACTACGGAAGCCATGCTGGACGACCTCCACTGGTTCCAATGCACGACAGATGGGTACCAATTGAAGCACACAAACGATGATGATGAGGAAACCAGTACCTACCTGCAGCACAACCCCCAAGAGGTTCGTGTGGTGGACCCAGGCATTGTGGACGCATCACCTGGGAAATCTTTCAAAGAGAAGACCCCATCTTTGACTCGTTTCAGGAACAATACTTCTCATTGAAAACATGTTGGATTCAGACAATCGTTGCTTCCCTGTCTCGATCACCACAACAACGAACAAAGTCCCCAAACGATATCTGTATGCTCCTGCGAACTTCTGGAACCACGTCCAACCCAAAAGTTGTGCCCATTACTCTCACGCATCTCTTGTATTCTGGATTTAGCATTGCTACCACACTCGAACTCAGACAACAAGACTGTAACTGCAATGCTATGCCGCTATTCCACATTGGAGGAATCAGTTGCAACCGTTCTGTTGACTGGACCGCTCGATGATCCCAATGCATTTACGGATCACTTATTGACCGTCACAGCACACCAAGACGCAACAAGCTGCAACCGCCCTCAACCAACTTGGTACTGCGCAAGGCGATTGCCCTGGTGGCACAAGCACGCGGTTGTTCCATCCCGAATCGATTGAGATTGTGCGATCGGCTTCGGCCCACCTCAATCATGATTTGGCACTGCAATTGTCAGCACTCTTTCAGTGTGGAGTCATCCCGACCTATGGGATGAGTGAAGCCATGCCCATTTGTTCCAGTTCACCCATTGATACACGAAACTCTCCGTCGCGGCGCCCTCTCTGGTGGTCGATTCCGTGAGATACCCCGTGGGGACCAGTGTTCAAATTGTGGATGCAGAGACTCGACAAGTCTTGCCGTACTACGACAACTACGACAACTACGACAACTACGACAACGGAGATCATGATGAGTGCAACGTGGGAGAGATTTGCGTGCGAGGTGTTGGAGTGATATCCCATTACGTGGGTATGGATGTCACCAAGACCCACTCTCCTGATGGATGGCTTCCCACGGGAGACTACGGAATGCTGGACCGAAAAGGGCGACTATTCATCAAGGAGCGAAGCAAGGAAATGATCAAAAGAGGCGGGGAACAGATATGGCCCAATCAAATTGATGATACCATTGCAAAGGTACCCGGAGTTGCCACTTCTGTTTCATGATTTGTTGGGAGAAGAGGCGGCGATCGTGGTCAAGGGACCAAAACGTTTCGCTGGTGACACCTATTTGAAGTTTCTAGAGGAGGACATAAGACAGGTTTGCAAACGTCATCTCAGCGCGGACGCCATGCCACAACAGTTCAAGTTTTTAGCCTCCACCGACTCCTTGCTGAAGGGGGCACAGGCAAGTATCTGAGATCCAAAATGGCAGACCATTTGGGAGTTTGGGAGTGACTGCTGTCGAGACTGGAGCTCTGCGGGTGCTGGAATCTGCTGCTGCTGCTGCCCCTGAAGCTGGCGAAACACGTTCTTGCTGCCAAGACGTCGACTTGGAGCACGATACTGCTTTGGCCCTGTCATCCGCTGTCAAGCAGCGTATGGCTGGACATGACCCACAGCAGTTTGGCCGTGTCATCACGAGCGAAGCTCTCAATGGACTTCGATTTTTGGTGGCTTGCTTTGTCGTCCAAGGGCACGTTGGAATGTATCCCAATCTCCCTTGGGTCAAATTCCAAGGCTACCCCCCCAACATAATGATTTTTTTTGCTTTGGGAGTTGTGCAAACAACGTTGTCCGTGGCTCGACTCGTCACTGGCCAATACGCTCAGTTTGTCGGAACCAAGATTGGGTCTCTTCACGCCCTGTTTGTCATTTCCCAGATAATCGGGCTGCCGTCCTATATCGGGTTTCCTCCTGCCTTTTCTTGTACCTTGCCGTCACCAAAAGATGAAGATACGTATAAATAAAGACGAGGAAAGGAAGAGTACATCTATTTGTGATGGCGTGCTCGAAACGCTGCATTATTGCCAAGCATTGGATGGCTCCTGAGTGTAAACGACTGGAGGCTAGAGACGAAGGCTGTCACGGTCAGCTCCAGACACTTGCAGTCATTATACAGTGTGTCACCAAATTCAAAAATAGAAGACTGCAAGCAAACCTTTGAAGTTCTAGTCTAGCTAGCTAGCTAGTACATTGGCACGATACCGAGCGTCCTTGGCACGGAACCGACTTCAAAGTTCCCAACCAAGGTCACCTACGTCACCATTCAAAAATTGATCCCAGTTTCAAGCGGAGCAGACAAGGAACAAGGACAGCTGCTGTGAGCTGTGGAGTGGGAGATTGGCCTCCAATTCTCGTTCGTCCAGTTTCAGTAACGTTTACGTCAGCCTCCTGCCGTTCCCATCATTGGAAGTTATCAGTCCACGAAAGCAGTGCTGTAAACTTCCCTGAAGAGGAAGCTACTAGACCGTAGACAACAGTGGGGACGTGGGTGGCATTCTTGATATTTTTTGGCTTCTCTGGCCGGAACAAGAACAAGTGACACATAACAATGGATTGAAAACCAGAACGCCACTCATTCCAACTGCTTCAGTCTGCTCTATCGGCACTTTCAACAACATGACACCCTTCTGATCCGTTGGCTTCCCCTACGAAGTGCCCCTCAAGTAGAGAGCAGCGGTAGGGTAGGACCGATGATGCAGCAGCCATATTATTGGCGAAGAAAAGAACTAGGCAAGCAGCACTACTAGCTAGTAGCTATGATAGCGATCAGTCAAGCTGTGCTGGTTTGAATGTTTGAATAGCTTTCGAGGTCGGAAGCCTGTAGGCTGTAGGCTGTATGCTGGCTAGCTAGGTAGGCGAGGCTGCAGGCAGGCTTTAAGCTGCTGCATCGTCATCTGGACACTGTCGGGAGTAGTGCTCCATCATGCAAGGCTTTCCAGATCTTGGTTTCCTCCATCCGAGTAAGAGAAGCCCCAAGAAGCCTTTATCGTCTGAGTTGCTTTGGTTTTTGGTTTCCCCTATCTCGTTTGCTGCGCTCGACAGCTCGGTGTAGCAAATTCGATGGGCACTTGGTTTGGAGTCAGTCAGGTCGTGCATCGGATACATGTGCTTGCCAGCTATTGGTGCGTACCGGTACTCAACGCTGTCGATGCTTGCTATTGGCCTGTTTGCTTGATGAAATGTTGTGATGCGTGGGTGTGATGTTAGTCTAGTCTACTAGTAGTTGTGGATGGTTGCGTTGCTTCCGGTTTTATGAATCTCATCTCATCTCGTCTCATCTCATCGAACCACGCAGCAACCGTCACCAATGGCTAGCTGGCTAGTAGGCTGTTGAACCAGAAGCCTACTAGTTCTGGAGAATAATAATGCAAGCGTGATGCAGGAACTTGGGCATGCAGAGAGGTATAGTACCAAGTCTGAGCAAGAATAGAGATAGCTAGGTACATGTAGCTTGCTATGATGTTCTTTTTCTTTGGTGGCTTTGGCTGCTTGCTTGTCAAGCCAGTCAGGCAGTCATAACGATTGTAGATCTCCCTGGTGGCTCACTACGACTGTAGTGCCGTTGTATGCTTGGTTGCTTTACTCGTTGGTGGTTGGCTGGTCCTCTGAATGAATGAAACTTGCTGTGTGTGTAGTGTAGCTTTGCTCCTGGCTGTTGTCTACATGTACTGTATCTCCAAGTTGTTGTGTTGGGCTAACTAGCTACCGGTAGTAACCTAACTAATGTTTCTCCGATACAAGTACACGATAGTGATGCAAATTTGGCTGGTTTATGTATGGCAGGGATAAAATGTTTTGGCTCTACTGTATGGCTGCTGTGGCACTACCGGTACATGGCCCTATGGCTGGTAGATGTAACCCCGATTGCAATGCAAGCAATGGAAACTTGAGTGGCTGGGTTTTGAGAGCTGCTTGACTGTTAGAATGAGGATATAATATGATATGATAGAGATGACTTGGGGGACTGCAGAATGAATCGAATCTAATCTTCCACGAGCAGCCAGAGTTGGAATGGCTTGAACGGGTGCTTGCAGGAGAGATGCATGTACTATGCCCCTGTGGAAGATGATGCATGGTCATCCTTAGTAAAAGAATGGAACATGGCAACTGGCTGAACTGTACTTGGTTGACACCTGGTGCGTGCTGGCTTGGTCTTGTTGGGTCAAGAAGAGTACCGGTATGCGGTATGATATGATACTGTATGTAACTGTGTTGTAACTGTGGCAGGCAAGCTAGCAAGCTAGCAAGCTAGAAGGTGAGGGAAGGAGGAGCCTTGAGTGCCATTTGTAGGTTTGGAAGACGCATGGTAGCCTGTGGCACTAGCGCCATGGTCATTAAATGTTTCTTGGGTGGACTCAGGGGACTGTGGTGTAGACGCTGCGCAGCCTCGACAAAGTCCTGCTCATCCGAGGACAATATCTTGTTGGATACATGTACAGCACTGTTGAGGGAGACACGGCGTGGAGCCAGTGAGAGTGACGGAACCAGCTTGCGTCTCTTGGTAGCAGTACCAGTACTAGTACTAGTACCAGTAGTGACCGGGCATGAAGGCATGGCCATGGCTAGAGGAGCAGGTCTCTTGAAGGAGTTGTTTCCCCTGTGTGTCTTGGAGGAGGTCCTTGGAGTACAGATCGCCTTGGCAAGTCTGGGAGGAGCCATGAGAGGCTTTCCAAACTGCATCATCTTGTTGGTCTTTTGATTCCTGTTCCTAAGCAGAGGCTTGATCTGAACTTGGTGGGCTTGAGGGGGCTTCTGGAGGGGCTTGAGGCTGGGGAGTCTGGCATTGGTTGCTGTGGCTGTGACTGTGGCTGTGACTGGAAGTGTAGCTGTAGCTGTGGCTGTGGCTGTAGCTGGAGGGTTAGGGACAGTGATTCCCATGCCAATGATTTCTCTTGCAGACCCAACTGCTTGAGCTTGCACCTGAGCTTGCACCTTAGCTTGAGCTTGAAGGTGGATCAAGTGGCGATTTACCAGATCTTGGTAGTGTTGGTGCTGATGCTGATGCTGATGCTGCAGTTGCTGGAGTGCAGATGCCATGGCAGTGTTGCTGGCAGTGGTGAAGTTGGGTTGGAGCTGAAGCTGAAGCTGCGGCTGCTGAAAAGAGGAAATCCCCAAACTGGCAGTTGCAGCTACAGCGGCAGTTCCAGCCAGTCTTTCCGCCAGATTGGCTCTTACCAGAACATCCGAGTTCATCAGGAGGGCATGAGGGTGAAGCAGAGGCGACAGGGTCTTGTTGCTGTTGATGTTATTGATGTTATTGATGTTGATGTCCTTGGCTGACAGAGAAACCAAATTGGAACTGGAAGCTGCTGTCATCTTGGTTGATTGATTGATTGAATGAATACAATTAATTAAGTTTGCTTATTACCTTATAATAATTAAGCTTAAGTCAAATTATGAAGTCAAGCTAAGTAAAGTTGTGATCAGATCTCCAAAGGTTGCCGGTGAAGGTTTTATCTTGTTTTGACTTTGCCGGTCTGTCTTGCTTGCCTGCCTGCCTGCCTGCCTGCCTGCCTGCCTGACAGTAACAGTGACAGGATGAAAGCCAAAAGTGAGAAGCTGACAAGGACTGTCTCCAAAATGATGGCTGCCCCGATTACGTGTTTCATTGGGAAAGAGGTCTGGCTATCGAACGAGAAGAAGGCTTTTCAGATAACAAAACTTCAGATGGACCAAACAGAAGTTTCAGGTGTCTCTGGCAGCTGCAAACTGGGAACCCATCAACTGCCTCGCAAGTCAGGTTACGAAGCCCATGGCCACTTGGGTCCTATCCGCGCTTCCAATCCCAAGGCAGTATCACATGCATGCGGGAGATAGATATCATTCATCCAGAACACAACTTAACTGAGTTATAAATGGTAAACAATACTCTGCAGAGCGTCCGCTTCAAGTGCAACGCATCCTAGTAGATTCCTGTGGTCTTGTCTGATCAAAACGAGTACGAGTAGATAGATGCGGTCGATCATTCTAGTCTGCTGGATTGATTCAGATTAGATTCGATTCGATTGAATGGAGGATGCATTGAATGCATTTAGAGAACTGAAACGGGAGCTTAGGCATCAAGCACCAAGCTAAAGATAGGATAGCACTGTAGATCCAAGTGGTATCTGTTTGTACCGTAGCAAGATACAGTCTTTATAACTTCATTCTCTTCTTTGCTTCCTGTCCTGAAGCTAGCTATTAATAGACCAGTCGGTCAAACCAAATGATTAATCCATGCCATCCCCGCTACGGTACCAGTACAGTACCTGGTAAAAGGAAAACAAATACTAACAATCCCACACATACTTTGATTCATGATAGATGGTATCTCATGCTCACTCTCATCTCTCGACGATGAAGCACCCATCAAATACATTGATTTCCCGCAGTCAGTGGGATTCGAAAACTGCTGACAGTTCCCTGTCAATTGGAAAGCATCTCAGGTGACTACAGGTAAGCTATACGATTCAGCAGCTCCCAAACTGCTTCCCTCACTTTTGGAATTCCTAAAGATCTTTTGCAACTTCCAATCAAATGACCGGCACTTTTGAATAAATGTCAATGATCACTTAGAATCATGGCCTGCAACTGCCTCCCGAACAAAGCTAACTGCTTCCAATCAACCCAAGGGAAAAAGAATGCTCAAGAGTAGCCACATCATTTCATCTCTCTAAGCCCAACGCTTGTATCAGAAATATCAATGACATTCCGGAAGCCGAAGAACAGCTGGTATTTCCTCCAATAGAATGAGGCGGATTTAGGACTTCAATTGTTGCCTTAGAATTTGATGTGGAATCTGGCACGAATCTCTCGAACTCAAAAGACCTGCGAATCATTCTGAAAGCCTTTACCAAAGGCTTGGATACGGAACGGCACAACAAAAGCTGATCAAAGAACTCCAAAGCTTTCATCATCATCTCGAGATCTCGAGATCTTGAGAGCTCTTTTAATTAAAAGTTGCCTTGATAAAAAGAAAACAATAATATTCGAGCTATGTTCGTCACTGCAACTTCCGGAAGAGGAAGATGTTGCGGACGTTAAAAACAGCTGAGAAAGGCAAAGAAATTTTGTGGGAAGATTTGCGGGATTCTCGTGGAGATGTTTAGATGTTGGCTTGAACGCTGGTAACGACGTAACGACTGCACTTGGAGCTGCGCGTTGCTGCCGAATGGCTCTAAACAGCGCACAAATGATATTTTTCCCCACGTGGCCACATTGGAACTTCTTGTGTGATCATATCAATTACATGTAATTACAGCTCAATTGCTGGCTCCAATGCTCCAATGCCTCTAGCTAGTGGCTTGGCATCCAGGAATTAACAGGTCCGAATGTTATAGGATTGTTCCAGGAGCTGTGTGATCTGTGATTACGTTCCAGCGCAGCCTTCTTGTGGTTACCAGTGGCCGCCTAAAAAGCCTCCCAAACTCCCAAAGCAGCCACCTTTGAACTGTAAACTGCACTCTGAGTACCGTACCTGGGATGGAGTACATGTACTGTATGGCAAGGAAGAGCTACTTCAGTAATTAAATTTTGAAGCAACAGAAGAAAAATTTGCTTTTCAAAGTGGCCACCAACGGAAAGAAAGACAATGGCGAGAAGAATTCACCGGAGAAATTCAGATGGCTTTTGGACTTCCAAGTCAGCTGAGAGAATAATGACAAGAATAAGCGTGGCCTGGAACCGAGTTCTTGATTGCGTTGCGTTGTTGTGGTGCTGCCTGTTGACAAAGAGGAAGCAGAAGCACGTGGGCCTATTCCCTGACTACTGGCTTGCTGGAACTCGTTCACCCAACGCCAACTATAGGAAAGCTGCACTATCTGGATAGCTAGTGGCCAGCTTTTAAAAGGCGATGATGGTGCTTCTTTTCGTTGCAACCAAATCTGGAAATAAAGAGATAGTAGCTGCTTCTGCAGGTCCAACCACCTCTTCAAAAATCTTGGCTCTTGTGCTGCTGTTGTTGTGCTGGGAGAAAATGGGTTGGAATCGAATCTTCTGCATGCTACTGAAGAAGGCTGCCTGTCCCAACGAAACCTAGCTAGAGGATGGATGGGTTTCTGACTGGCTGCTTGTCTGCTTGAATGGTTCCTTGCCAACTTATTTCAAGAACTTGCTTCAAAGTATTCTAAAGGAGGCCGCACCTACCGGTATCCCTTCGAGCTCTAAGCCATTTCCTACGGTATGTTCAGGACCGTGCAGGGCTACACTTCAGGATAGAGCGGGCTCTGCAGAATCAGAATAGTTGATGAAAGCAGCCCAGCAAGGATCTGTGCCACCAAAGCCGTCCCACCGATTGCCTTGGGCTGGCTACGGTATCGGTACCAGTATGCACAGTAGCACCGGTGGCTGTTTTATCATGATGTGCAGCAGCGTTTCAGGTATTAATAGTTAGCCTTATCTCTAAGCAATACTTCGAACTGTGATTGCAACCCTAAACCCTTGATGTCGTACCGGGTTTTATGCCCTTTAAATCTTTATCATGACTTTTCAGGTCATTGAGCCAGCACTTTTTCGGTTGCCTCCAAAAACCGAGCAGCACACAACAATTGAGCAAGCGGAAGACGGCACAGCAAGATCGCAGACAAGATGGCGAGCGAGAATCCAACGGGTAATAGCGGAGAAGAGGCGAAGCAAGGAGAAAGCAGTGCTGCTCAGGAAAGAGAGTTTGTCAATCAGGGTACAGTATGCATAAGTGGATGATTGCTCGGTTGGACTATTATTATTGTTGTTTCTCATGATTTATTTCATTATTATTATTGTTCATGGCAGGTCTCCGATTGTGGGAGCAAAGCCGTACGCAATGGCTAGGTCATCAGAACAGCAGCAATCATTCCAATCGAGCCGACGGTAAGAGCGACACGGACTCTACCGCACGACCGGCCGCAGTCCCCATTGAAGTAGACGAAATCATTGAGGTCGTGTTTGCCATGCCAAGACAAACGGCTACGGAAGACGAGCCTCCCAGATTCCCAAGATCCATTCCTCTGGTTCAAATGGTTGATATATTGGTGGACCTATGGGAAGCAGAGGGGCTGGATATATAAATACTAGCTAAGTTTGAAAGTCTGCTGCTACCTTTTGAATGCAGATGTTTTTTTTTAAAAAATGCTAGCTAGCTAGCGCTATAGCTAGAATCAGAAGGAATTTCAAGTTGGTTTCATCATTTCTTGCTAGAGACACTTATGGATACATGGGCAGGATAGGATAAAATAGAAAGTCAGAGAGAAACAGCCAGAGCTAACTCGTAGGTCGTTGGCAGCCACAGCATAGACTTGCTGCAAGTAGAGCCACCAGACGATTGTTGGCCTCATTGATTAGATCCATATTACCTCCAGATCAACGAACATATCCGATCCTTCTCCCTCCACGTCCCGACCCGTGCCCACCAGAAGTTTCAGTATTCTGTTGATCCTGATGCATGCCCATGGCACATCCTCCTCGCCCACAAGCAGCGTTATCCTAAAGTTGCTTGCGGGTTGAGGACCCCACTTTTTCGGTTCGTCCGAGTGGGGCTCTTGGGAGTAACAGTTACTGTGGAGCTCCAGTTCACAATCATCCCTGCTGCCCTGATGGTGATACTTGGGCCGTGACTGGTCGTGCTAGCTAGTAGAAGGACCCGCCATGATGCAGGTGTCATGGGAGTTAGCGTGCTGCTCGTTGGCGTTCGACCGTGGTCTCCTAGCTAGGCAGTACTGATATATGTAGGGAGCGACAAACTATCCACTCGTCTCGCTCATTGCATTACCACGAGCCTCCAGGTTGCTTGAATGGTCCAATCATGCGACACGCAGCCAGTGAATTCCATTGCTTTGCTCACAATGGGCGGCACAAAGCGAAACAAGCAAGCTCGCATCACTTTTGATACCGAAAGCTCTCACTAAACCAGAAAGGAGCAACTGATCCAAGAAGCAACTATGGCACCAGGAGCTACTAGTACACAAGGGCATCTAAAGGACGAAGGCTGTCACTCAGAAGCAACTGATGGTACCCTTGTGGATATACCGATTCTTGCCTGACCTGCCTGAAGAAAGTACCGTGATTGAAAATCAAAGACAGTCCTGCAACCTGGGGTCCCCGCGAGGAAGAACAGCGTTGGTACCGGTAGCGTGGCGGGGAACGGTGAGCCAACCATGTAGGTAGCCCTCCTCTTGTTCTCAATCTCGGCAACCATTACCACTATTGTGTTGGTGTCGTTGTGGAAGAAGCAACACGATGCTCGCTCCTACTGATACTAGTAATAGTTGACTTTTTCGCTTCGGCCGACTATTCTTCCTTCCTTGGATTCGAGGCGTGAGCGACATAGTAAGTTGACAACAGTCTAGCAAGCTAGGTTTGCTGATGAAGGCTAAACTTAAAACAAAGTACAGTAGTGTCGTTGCTTATAGCTGTGAAGAGAGTACCTATTCTGGAGTAAGCCAACTTACGGCACCGGTACCAAGCAAGCAATCCAGTCACCAGCAAGGAAACAATGCCGCCAACATGTCACTCCTCGTTCAACCTGGTGAGGCCCGGACCCAAGGTATGCTGTTGCAGCCAGTGGCTGCAGGTCTTGTGAACTATGGTTCGCGACCTGGGGAGCACGAAGCAGAGTGGAGGCATAGCGGTACCGGTACCGGTGATTTGGGCTGGTGATACTGGATGACTCGACTGAGTCGACTCGACCTTTGACGCGAATGATTTCGTTTGCCTCGTCAGTCACAGTTATGGCCCGGATTGCCAGTTCCGAGTGCGGTGGAGCACGAGAGCACGATAGAGGTTTAGCGCTTTCAGCGCAGGAGCTTCATGGAGTATCATGACATTGTATGCTCTGTCATGAGTACCACCCAGCAGCTTTGCCAACATCCTCACAAATCTGAAACAACAACAAATAGCAACATCAGATAAAAGCAATTGCTAGCTAGAAACAATGAGCGTCCACACAGCATCCAAACAAGAACAAGATCTCACGGAGGATCCTTCCGAAACCTTCAGTGATGTTGACATCGATATCACAGTAACGCACGCTTCCCCCGAGTCGAATGACAAGATCTCTGAGCAAGAGGGCGAGCTAGATACTACTAGTAGTATGTCTTCCAGAGTGCGTCGAGAACGCAACACCAAGATTGGCCTGGTTGTGCTAGTGATTGGTATCCTGGTTCCAACAGCTCTTGTGATTGGTGCCCTCTTCAACAAGAAAGACAAGAACTCAAATAGCACTTCAGAAGCAACCACTTTCCCAGAGACAATGGCCTGCACCAGAGATGCAAGAATCTGTTCTGACGGCACTGCTATTGGCCGCAATGGCACCAATAACTGCGCCTTTGACTCTTGTCCAGAAGGAGCTTGCTTCATAGAACTCCTCATTCCTTGTGACGACGGAGTTACAAAGGTCTGCGACCAGACACAGTGCCCCTCCAATGCCAATGACAATGCCAATGACAATACCAACGGGGAACCTACAACGACTTCCCAATCCAGCTCTACAGTCACCGTAGAAGACCTTACTGACACGCTAACGACTAACAGCAGCAACACAGACAATAACGGTGGACCGGACGGACAACAGAAGGAGGACCAAACATCTCCAACAGAAACTCCACAACCAGCAGCAGTCTTGTGTCCTCGTTCCATTCAACTTTGCTCAGATGGATCCTTCGTTAGCCGTGATCCTGACAACAATTGTGAGTTCCCTGCTTGTCCTGACCCCTCCCCACCGACATCGGAACAAGAGCCATCCGAAACACCACAAGTAGCATGCCCCCGGCAGATTAAACTGTGCACAGACTTGACGTCTGTTACCTACTCGGGTCCCAACTGCGAGCTTGAAGAGTGCCCCCAAGGAGCTTGTTGGGTAGATAGTCAAGTTTGTCCAGATGGCATCACCTATGTTGGCCGTGATCCTTCCAACAACTGTGAGTTCTCTGCTTGCCCCGAAGGCTCCACCACTGAGGAGTCCACACCCGAAGAAGAACCGTCGGAAACACCTCAATGCGATCGCGACATTCAGTTCTGCCCCGATGGAAGCTTCGTGGTGCGAGATACGCGGATCTGTGAGTTCCCTCCATGCCCACCTTAAAAGCAAGCAAGCTCATCAGAGCTTCCTGTTAGAAGACAAACGAGTGCATATGAGCCATTCTAAAAATAAGCAACTACTATCTACATATGACCAAGGACATATACATGTAGCAACCCGTCTTGTGCGATGCCTTCAGCCCTCCTACTATTTACTAGCGTTGGAGAAGATACAGCAATGATTCCTTGATGCACAGACATCCGTCATTGCAGCTCCTTGTTGGCCTGGCCAAAACCTTATTGATGCGGCCCACAATCTTCAGTCTTGCCAGGTCTCATTCCGATGACTAGTACTTGTGCTTCCTGCCTGCATTGTAGCACTGTTGCATCAAACATGCACTATAAAAACATTCTATCTTCCTTGCGTCTGACTGTAACTCTTGCTTGGTTCATTTGCTCGTCCACTGATTCGAGTTTGAAGTACAAGTACGTAGAGCACATGGTGCTCACGACACCAAGCTATAGTGAGATTGTGAGAAACAAATACTGCAGGTACTACATGTATAGATGGGCAACACACAATCGAGTTTCTAAAACGGCTGCATACGATGGAATGATGGAGCCAAGCAAACCATATCTTATGGTCTTTTCCCTCCCCTTCCCAGTACATGTACTTCGAGCTGATCATGGCATAGGAATGCAAAATCTATCAAACAGACTAGATCTACTCTGTATAGTTGTTGCTAATCACGACGAAGCTCCGTGCATCTCGTTGCATGCTCTCCGCTGCCATGATTCGGAGCGTGGAAAGCAATTCCGTCCACCTTCCACGCTGCTTCTCCACTCAAGGACGGGAAACCAAAAGAAATAACGTGGTGCCTCTTGTAGTTGAAGTGGGTTTTAACATCATTAATCACAAATAGGAATGATAAATCGTAAGATTGCGTTGGAGCTTGCTTCCGCTGAACCCACAAAATTACAGCCTTGGAGAAGCTATAGAGATATAACGGACTTGCTTTCTAGAGCCTTGCATGCTGTTCAACAATCAGCCTTACTCTTTGAGTATTGATGATTGTTAAGTCAATAGTGATCCTTAACTTTCTAACTGGGGCCCAAGGCTCTTATGTGATAAACATGAGGTCTTGACAGGCTCCTTTCAGGCTTTACCTAAAACGCGAAACTGAAATGGCTAGCTAGCTCTTTGGTTTCTACGCATTGACTTCTGTATCTCACAATTTGGATTTGATTTTCGAAGCATCTTCTAGACTATCTAACCTAACCTTCTAACTTGTAACCTCACTACTAGTACTAGCTAGCTAGTTTTGTTCTGGTCAAGATGGGAAACGCACACGCTTCAGCTCCTCTGGATATTGATACCTCCTCTAGTATCAACAACAGCAGCATGATGAACTCTTCGTGGAACAACAGCAACGGGAATGGGGCAGCTTCAGCCATGCTGTCCTCAACAGGAGATATGGACAAGTCTGCGTCGGCGGCGGCATTGGAGGCAAGGGAAGAGTTGCCGCTGGAAGATCAGCAACGACGAAGACGGCAAAAGAAGAAAGAAGAGCAAGCGTTAGATGAAGCTGCTGGCTTTATTAATACTAGTACTAGTACTACCGGTAGTACCAAGGAAAAGAAGGAGAGGCGCAGCAAGAAAAAAGACAAAGTTCCGTCATTGCAAGCTCACATGGACGAAATGGAAGATTTCTTAAAAGTGGTTCAGTCCAGCAAACACATGAAACGCCAAATCAGAGAAAACATCAAGGCCAGCAGCACCAATAGTAATAGTATTCAGAGGTAGCTATCGTGCGGTATGCATGCACCAACACCAGTCAGCTAAGCTACTAATACGCTAGATCATAAGCCAAATTACATGTCCGTTTTGACCCATAGTTTGGTTTAGTTGAGACAAAATATGACGTTTAGCGTAGATCTCTTTATAATCATTAGTCTAGGGCCTTCTAGCTGGAGAATTCTTGTTTTTGGACACCTTTCCTCCAAACCGCAGGCCAGCAATTGGGGGCTGGTAATAACAGTCAAGGGGCCGGTAATCAGGTTGTTGGGACCGATCTACAAACTCCAGCCATCGAAAGATGCAAGTTTTGCAAACTACAGTCTCTTTCTTTTGGCAAATGAAAATATCAATCCCCTCGGCCGCGAAGGCAGCCTGGTACTGTAAGACAATTACCCTCAGTTTGCGAACGTCCCCATAACCCCGACGGAATGCAAATTCATTGCATTGATCCACCATCTTGTTGTACTCTGTCATCAGACCACGTTCTTTCAGCAGGGCGGCCAGATCAGGACTTGCCTGTTCCTCCAGTTGCTTGTGGCCGTACCCAAACTGCTCGATCGCTACCCCGTTTGGGAACTTGAGCTGACTAGAGTGGGTCTTGATTTCCTGCGTGGAGGACTGGTTCGCGACATTGTAGGGAGGGACGTAGTGGTCATTGACGCCCAGATCAATGTATTCCAGCCACAGATAGGAGCTCTTTGATATTTGGAGCTCGCATAGCACAACCTTGATCCCATGGAGGGCAAATTCCGCTTCGAACTGTTCCATGACGGCCGCAAACCGATCCAAGTCCCACCTTCCAAACAGACCCACACGAGTTGATTTGTCCTTGAAAATGCAATCCATAAACCTGCTGTAGGTCTCCTGTGCTTTGGTTCGGGATAGGAGCGCCATCATTTCTTTGGGGCAGGACTTTTGGAGCTCATAGTGGCCTCCATATTCAACCAATTGTTCCATTGCCACTCCTTTCGGAACAGCGTAGCTGCTTGGCATTGCGAGTCTCTTGCGGACTAGGCTGGGGCGTTCAAACATCATTGCTTCTTGATTAGTTAGTTCTTGCTTGCTGAAGCTTATTCTGTTCTTGATTCGATTGCTTAGTTGGAAAAAAGTGAAATTGATTCTATGAGAATTGGTCAGGTGTCAAAGAATGCCGTGCACGATTCGGACTCCTGGGCTTGAGGGCCGGGTGCCAGCTAGCCAGGAGCAATGCATGATTGGAAACCATTGGTAAAGCAACATTTTGCGATGGATGATGCCGGGTTTGCAAGCAGCTTGGCACGGCTGTTGTGGGAATGAAAGCCGGTAGGACCTCGAAAAGGAGAAGTGGGAGTCAAGGGAGGAGTCCATTCCCATTGTATCGTGTTGTCGTCATTCCTACGAGGCGGGCAGCCACGAAAGAAAACAGCGCAATCACCCATCGAAGCATGAAGAAGGGAGTCGTAGTCTGGTTTAGGAGAACAAATGAACAAAATGCCCAAGCCTCAGCGAACAACAGAGCTACTATTAATAGTACCGGTACCACAGGCGTTGGATTGATTCAATCACAGATCGGGAGAACTATCAGAATAGTGCCAGGACACACCAATAGACATCTAGAAGAACACGAACAGGAACGTCCAAAAGCTATGGCACATGCACAGCCAGCTCAGGACATTCATTCCAGGAACTCGTCGTGTGGCCCTTCGCTCCTGTCACAAGCACTTGCTAGAGGGCTGGCAGCCATTTTCACCAGACACTCTCGCTGAGGATGGGCCTCCGATGTCAAGCCAATCTTTTGGCGCAGTAAAGTCGATTCGAACGGCCCAAAGCGGGCCGCCCTGCTAAGAAGACAGTCGCTGCTGTCGCTCAATGCGAGCCGAAGAACGTATCTGGCGTCAGTTATTATGTGGGTATCACCAGTACTCTACCGGTACATGTATGCATACCGGTACGTTTGGTGGCCAAGGACAATCCGTATCGGTACCATTGCCAGCCATCATGGAAGAACAATCCACCCTTTATCTGTAGTAACAAGCAGCAATCAGCCAGGGGCACAAATAATCAATTCCTCAGCCAGAGACGTTGGATCACACGTGGCTGCAAGAGTTTGCAGAGACCTCACGAAGTTGGTCTTGTTGGTCCACATGTCTTGACAGCAGGCCGCAGCTACACTACCTGGTCAGCGTACTAGTACGGTACAAACAGCTCTTGCTGCCGCTCGTGACTAGTAGCTAGAGTAGTCCTCGAAGCCAGGCAGTTTCATTCAGGCAGTTGCCAGGCCAACGACACCTGTGTTGCCCGCAGGAGACAAGAGACAAGCAAGTTTTCCTTGTTACTATGGTATGACTTTACTAAGCCTTGCTTGGAACTTTGAAACAATCTTTTTCGTGCTAGCTTCCCTTCTTGTTATTATGGCTGAGCTTTGCTTGCTTGGTGTACGGTACTTGAACCAATCGGTGTGTTGTCTGTCACAGCCAGGCAGGACCACGCAAAACAAAGCAAGCAAGAAGCAAATGTAACTAACTACAGATGGAGCGAAGAAGCAATGTACAGGCAGGCAAAGCAATACTAGTCGCTGTCGGTTGTTGCTTGATAGAAATAGCCCCATCTTCAGCTCCTCCCCTCCAGTGTGCTGCGTGGTTTGATACCGGCTTTGTGTGCAGTGAGGTGTGAGCTCAGCACCACGGTACTACAATGAGTACATACATGTACTAGCTAGCTAGCTAGTATCTAGCGAAAATTTTTTAAGCTAGTACTATAAAGGTTGAGCCCCCGCAGGGGGCTCTGAACCATAAAGATTGGGCCCTTTGGGGCCCAACCACCAAGCTAGCTAGCTAGTGGGAGTGGAACACATGGTCTTCTGGCTTGCCCTCAAAGCACTGCAGCAGAGCCTCCTGCATCTTCGACTTTGTCTTTGGGATGGATTGATCCTGGCCATCTGAACAAGCGTCCCTGCTGCATCATGTTGAAGTGCATTCGATCGAATGATTCAGCAGCGAGCACGGCAACATTGTCCGTGTTGGCGGCGCTACCATAGTGCTCGATTGCGTGCTGGACTGAGTTATCAAAGACTTCTTTCTGCTTGGCAGTCAGTTTTTTTGAAGAATCCAACCACTGGTTGAGGAGTCCTAGCTTTCACAGAGGCACGTCCTATCTTGCCAACAGCCGCCAAGAACACCATGCCGTTGTCGTCCACCTTGGGGAACCGTCCACTGGAGTACAGGTCCCGGATGTAGTGGTCGATACCAGCCGGCGCCTCTTTCGTACTCGCACTCATTTTCTTCGGCGAGGAAAGCGGATATATCCTCGGCTGCGGTGGTGCAGTACCTCTGCGGCTACTGAATGCGGTAAGTACACCTCTGCGAAGTACCTCTGCGGCTACTGAATACGGAAGGGATGACCTCGGTTTTATTGTCTTGCTTCACTATCTCGCTCAAATTCGAAATCCTCTGCGAAATCCTCTGGCGAAATCCTCTGGCGAAATCCTCTGGCGAAATCCTCTGGATGCATGCTCTGTCGGTCTTTCGAAAACAACACGAAAACAACACGACGAGAGACTGATCGAGCTGACACAGAGATAAATAGATAAATAAATAAATAAATAAATAATGCACGACTGACGTCAGTCGGCTGATCACGACGATTCTGATTGGCTAATCCTCTACTTTCCTCTACGGCGCTTCTACAGGGGTAGTGTACGGTTGGGCTGATGTCGGCACGGAGGTCCCGCTGTACTTTCTGTACCAAGCCTTTTATGTTCTGTGGACGTAGCTTCCGTCGAGGAGAGGTAAGAGGGGACTTCAGTCCCGTGTTTTGGAAGTGAATATTGGTCCCTGCCAAACTCCAAAGTCATTGAAAGGGAAGCTATTGAGTTAGAGAGACAAGTGACATGAGGCTCTGTTCCTAAGGCATTGGATAACCTGTTCTGCCTCTAGTTGCACTTTCTGTTCTCTGTATTCCCATTCTGATTTAAAGAAAAGCCTGTTTGCTTGGCATGCAGTCATTGATTCGGAAATGAGGGTCATAGTATCATTGACTGGAGTGCTGGATTGAAGGCTCACCCGTTCTGACGATTTGCGAAACTGCTCACACTTTCCCGAACTTTGCCGCTGATGCTTACATTTCTTTGGCAACTGGTTTGTAAACTGTAAACCCAAGTTGGAAGGTTTTGTTAGCAGTTTTCGGGTCCATCAGCAGCAACGATTTAGAATTCATTTCCTACACTGCATAGCTAGCTAGTAGCTAGTAGCTAGTAGACCAACCATTCTAGACCTACACAAAAAGGAAAGAAAGAAAATATGATGATTGCGATTCGCAAAGTTTTGAAGAAACGGAGTTTTCTGAACAAGAGGAGCAAGAAGAGAGAAGATGGCGCCATCAATACAGGTACAGGTACTGGTACTGGTACTGGTACTGCAACTGGTAGCAGTGTGAGCAGCACAGTGGTGGGAGAAAGAGAGACAGAAGCAGAAGCAATCATTCCTCAAGAAGTTCAGACCAATTTGAACCCCAAGGAGTCCAAGTCTGCCAAATCTGCCAAGAATTTCAAGGATCAGAAGGTTAGTGCATGTACTAGTACTGCTCAAGTCCAGAAAGAAGAAAAAACAAAAACAAAACCAAAAGAAGCAGAAGCTCTGATTTTGACAGACAGAGAAATCCAAGCAGGAGTCACATCTCTGCTAAGACAGCAACTAGGATTGCAGATGGATGTCAGTGTCAGTTCAGCACAGACTTCTGATCTTGCCATGCATAGTACTACTAGTAGTAGTTTTGTTAGTGCACAGGTTAGCAAGGAGGATCTGCAAGAGAGAAGAAAGACCATTCAAGAGTTCATCCGGATAGTCAACACTCATGACATGGAGCAAGCCAGACAGTTTGTCACTCCTGATGTCCAGTTCCAATTCACGGCTCCCCAAGGAAAACAACTGGAAGTGGAATTCTCATGGGAAGAATGGTCAGGAGCTCATTGTCACATCAACGCAAGCTTTCCAGATTTCTCCTTTAGATACCAACAAGTCAATGACAAGCTAGGTGTTGTCATTCTTACTGGATTCAGAGCCAGTGGAACTCATACCGGAACACCCTTTGCCTTTGGACCACTCGATCCCATTCCACCGTCGGGAAAATTCATTGAAAATGATCCCGAACAAGCATACTTTTACTTTCGAAATGACAACCATACACAATTCTGCAGAGTCACTTGGTACACCACGGGCGAAATGACTGGACCCGATGGATTCTACACACAGCTCGGAGGATTCCCCACTCTGTAGTTCCTGTCGTACCGTATCGTAATACTACTACTACGACGACGCTGTTCATAGCATAGCTATAGTTAGTTGATGACTCGACTCTCGGTACACGCTCGTCTCTCTAGCTATAAAATCCCGTGCCAGTCTACTTAGTTGATCCATCTTGGTTTGACACATACTTCGAAAAAGGACGACATTCACCGTAACCGGGAATCATTGCTCGATATCGGAGTCTGGTCCCAATCGCGACGGTACAGATGTGCACATGACATGTATCGATGCCTCTCGCGATCACCAAGAAGCTTTTGGCGTGCTATTCTTGTCTTGTTTTCGGGTCTGGCAGAATGATTCAATCATTACGTGTTTCCTAGCGGTAGAAAAGTGGGGACGTAGGTTGTATATATATGATGTGTGGACGTATAGCTAGCTAGCTACAAGCTACAAAGTATCATACAGTACAGTACTACAGACGTGAGAAAGCCACAGCTGTACATTGCCTTTCCGAGGACCGGCAGTCATGCACGTACATGTATAGACGTCGTACCGGTACGGAAGGCGAAGGACTACCCGGTGCTGAAGCTTTCACCCAAGATTCCACCTGCTGGAGGTTGCACTGCTTGTCGTACCTACCAAAAAAGAAACCGACTACCGCGACGGCTCGTCGCCTACATGTAGTCTGCGTAGCAGGCTATGTGCCGGTACGGCTGGCCCGACCAACTACCACTGCATAACGTATCGTACAAAATTGAACACAATCGCTCGTCGCAAATAAGTGTAGTCGTTACGCGTTTTGCCTTGCTTGTCACACTACCGGTATCATAATTATGTACTACGTTACACCCACTTATTATTGCTATAGCTTTCACTCGTCCTCATCCGGTAGCCATTAATAGTCGATGGCACACATTCGTACATGCATAGACTAGATTCGATTCGATTCATTCATTCGTTCGCTCGATCAGCTACGATGTGGATGTGGATGTGGATGTGGCTGTTGCTGTTGTAATTTGAATGGATCCTTTGACAGTTTCCTTGAATTGATTGTCCTTTTGCCCATGCCGTGTCCCAATGACGTAATCGTAGCTCTTGTTGACAGCGTTGGCGTTGTCGTGGAGTAGTAGAACCGAATCGTCCACGCCATCTGCACTTTTTGTAATCTTGGTGTTGGTGTCAGACATGGAAGACGGTTTCCAAAAGGCCACGACGGCAGGATTGGGTAATAGGGTCGGCCTGACAAAACGAGCCGTGATGGTGACTTCTTGACGACAATCGCCATCATCCTCATAATGGTTGTCTTCAGTGAGTGTATGTTGTACACGTAGATTTCTTTGGATTTCCGTGTTTGTTTCGAGCACACTCCACAATTTGCAAAGACTGTGCATTCCATGGGCAATGCAGGACTTGTATCCAAATAGTTTTGCGGATAAGGGATGCATGTGAATGGGATTGATATCTCCATTGAGAGAGGCATATTTTCTGCCCGAATCGACGGGGAAGTTCCATTTTGCCAATTGTTTCCAGTGCTTTTGGTTTTCATAGTCTTGTTCAGGTGGTTGAATAGTTTTTGGAGTGTGTGAATTGTTTTTGAGTTTGTTTCTTTGCGGATTGAGAATGCGGTATTTGTTGGTGATGGTCATGATGGGCAATGGGTTGTCTTCCTCTCGCTCTCCTTGTTCTTCAGTATTGAGATCCTGCACTAGCGTAACAACGGTGAAGATCCAATCTTGCTTGTCTGAAAGTTCCATCTCTGGGTGCACAAAACAACGTGCTTGTAGAGGAATGGTGTCTGCATCGATGGGGATTGGATTGTGGCTTGTGATTTGAATGGACTCGTGGACACTGCCCACTATGTTGAGTGGAAAGTTGGCGTGGGTCAACTGATTCATGGGCAAGCAATTCAGCAGACACTGCAAGTAGCTCACTGGAATTTCAGAAGTATGCAAGTTGGCACTGACATTGTCATCCACTACTCTGCGGAATTGACGCACGTGCAGACGGTTGATGGTGAATGGAAGATCTTCTTCAGGAATGTCCAGGCTTAACTTCACTCGGTTATTATTAGGTAAGATGCCTGTAGCAGTGAAAGAAGAGGGAAGAGAGTGATTCTTGGTCACAGCTCCCAAGGCTGCCCTCGCATAGATGGACAGTAGAGAAGGAGGACGAGTCATGGTCACAGCTATTTATTAAAAATAATAGCTACCCATAGATATAATACTAGTATGGCAGAGATAGCTGCTGTACACTAATGATACTAGCTACTGGTAGTAGAAGCAACCAAAGAAAAGAAATGAGAGCGTTGAGTTGGATGGATTTGATGGATGGATCTTGCGAATGATTGAGATTCAATCAAATCGGAACAAACGGGATCTTTCCAAAAGACAGTCCTTTGGGAATGGATCCTTGAGGCTGTCCTCGCACAGATGGACGGACTCAATCAATACTCTGACGTCAGGGACAAACAATGGCGCGGCTTCGTTCCTCCCAGAAACACCAACATCCGCCACGTTAATTAAGCCGGCTTGATAACCATAGCCAGCCCTTGAGCCACTACTATAGCCACTGTTGTTTGCCTACGTTTCAACTCTTCCTCCTTTGATCTTCTCCCTTATTACCAGCTGTTCGGCTTGCGTTCTTGCATCCTCCTCTGCAACCCGTCCTCCCCATAGTAGTCCCCTCTAACCTATAGTACTGTAGTGACCTAAGAACGTCTCCCACTTGCAACTAAAAGTGTATCGCCGGTTTCAAATGGGCTTGTCAGCTATGTTGGCTACAATAGTCATCAAAAGAGAACTCGAATAGCAGTGCCATTGTCACTCGTGTTTTTAAGTTTGTGAGTTGTGAGGGTTGAGGAATATAAATGTCCTTTAAGTCCTTTAGCGCATATCTAAGTCTCTTGGTCCAGTTTGGGAAACGGCGTGCATTTGAAACGTACCGGCGTAGCGGTATTACTATCGTAATAGGTACTAGTACATGGTGGCACTCACTGTGCGCGGTTTGTGGAACGAAATAGAGGTCGTAGACTATTGCCGACCAGGCTGTGCTTAGATCCCTTGCGTTGCTTCTAAGGATCAGCTACCAGTACCAAACCAACAGCAATGGAACGAAAATGCGCAGTTCTAATTCCAGAGACAGCGATAGTCTAGTTGGCTACATGTACTGTAGCTTCTGCATGGAAGACTCACAAAATTGTGTAAATTCTAGTCAATCCTCTTGCGTTCCTGTTGTGCGATGTTCGCCGACGAGTGCAACTCGTTATATAGTTGTTGAGCAACAGTGTTGGTCCTCTGGTTGCTTTTGGGCTGGCTAGCTAGCGACCAATAGTACAGAAGAGAGACTGTACGGATGGGTATTTCTCACACAAAGTTCTGCGCCTCATAGTTGCGGTTTGATAGCTGGCATGGAGCGCAAGACAGTAGAAGGCTTCAACAGCTCCAGTGAGTTTGCCTTGGCGCTTGGCGAATCATCAGAAATTGAAGTTGATTGCCTTTTACAAGTAGGCCTTCTCCTCTCATAATCAAACCTTCTGTTGCAGGTGTTGCTAGTACTATAGTAGGGAAGACATTGGTGTGGAGGCTACGAGGGACAAACACAAGCGACTAGTAACACAAAGGTGTATCATGATGGTTAATAATTTTTGAGCTGATTGCAAAAATAATTAAAAACCTTGTAAAATTCTGAGTACTGGTACATGTACTCGATCGTGGTACCATACATATGCACAATCTTCAGTAATACCACTATAAAAAGTCGCCAGGAATTAATAGCATGGGCCAACGAGGGCGAGAAAGGGGTGGAAGGCAGTGATCTGATTGGCTGAGAGGACCGAAGAACAATGTATATGTCAGCAATATTTAACGAAAAACATTTAAATCACTTAACACGAAGTTTACTCAGTTTACGTACTAGTGTGCTACCAAATTACGTCTTTCTTCTTTTTCGAAAACCGAAAGAAGGATTCCTCTTCCGATCGTCGCGACAATGACAATGACATCCTGCCGCTCACTCAACCAACCACCGGAGAGCCACTCGACAGTCATTATCTCAGCCAAACATGACCGAAACAGCAGCAACAGCAGCAACAGCAGCAGCAGCTACCACTCACAATGGCGCTGCCACAACAACAGGAATGGGTTGCCAAAGTCAACAGAGGAACTCGCAACAGAAGAGAGCATATCAACACGCCTCCAACAACAACAACAACAACAACAACAACAACAACAACAACAACAACAACAACAACAACAACAGATCGAAGAGAGCCAGAGAAGAAGGACCGCAAACAACACTGGGAGGAGTGGTAGCAGAAGTCTTTGATCCACTCAAGAACTGTGTCATCTGTAAGGCCAGACATCTTGGTCTCAGAGTCCCCAAGAGATCACACTCTGTCTTCTGTATTAAGAATACAATAAACAAAAGGACAAGGACCTTTGAATGCGCTGACATGGAGACAATCAAAGAAAGCAGAAGACTACCAACAATTCAGTGCTCTCTATCCATTGAATGAGAGAGGAGCTGGAGGCATTCCACAGGAGAAAATGGAGAAGCTTCTTTGCTGCTAGAACAAACACAGCCAAACCAAAGCAGAGCCGCAACAGCAACAAAAGGCAGCAATGGCCACTCCAGTGCTCTTTGTCAAAAGGTAACCATCTTGTAAATGATACGCCTTGTGGAAAAGCACAAGAAGAAAGGAGCACCACTGGCAATGCTACAATGGCAGAAGCAGTGTCAGAATCCTTACCAGGACAAAGAATCCAGAACTCTTCCACAAATACTTCCAAGGACTCACCATGACAGTTCCCTCCAAGAGGAGCAATTCGAGTCTCCCACTACACTCATTGTTGGCAGAAACTCCTTCTAGTGGACTGGAATCGATGTGGAATTACAGTTTCCTTGTCCCGATGGAAGATGCTCTGGCAAACTCAACAATACAAGGACAAACTGGTCACACAACAAGACCTTGTTCCCCATCTTTGGCATCACTGGTCCTCCTTCTTGGTTGTATGGTCATGTCCATGGTTTGTGGAAGCTGCACAGAAGATTCGATGCCAACTCTGCAGAAGTGCTGGTCTCGATCCCAGACCATGCTGCATTGCTCTATCCAGTGGAGTCCAAGTATGCTCTACCTAACAAGGCTTGTCACTTGGAGCGAACAGCAACAGAAGTATTCGATTCTATCATGTTAACCTATGGAAATGGAGACCTATGCAGCCGCCTCATCTACAATGCAATCAACAGAGAGAATCTTAGAGCCATGATGTCTTACTTCTCAATACTGGCAAGGAAGCGACACTGATCCTGATCCTTTCTTCAAAAGGATGGCACTTCATCAGACAGTTTCCTCCTCTTGGTGACACCATCCGTGACATCTATGATGCTGCTTGTGCTTCAAACAGGAATCCGTGGAGGATCAGTGACAACCAAAGGCACACAAGAGAGATCCAAAGTGTCAAGTGCAACAAAGGAATCTTCTGTCAAGACCACACCTTCCAGGTGATCAAGAACTACAGCAAGAGTCTTGGTGCTGCTGCTGTTTGGGATGCTGCCACAGAGACTGGTGAGATTGCATGTGCTGTTCTTGTTCCACCACCAAGACCATCCACTTCTCCATGCTGCCATGCAGCTAGCAAGGAGGAGCAACTTCAATCAAGCTGCCATGTACAGCGACACCTGGCCCCACAAGGATGACTATGGGAGCTGCTCTTTCCAGGTATCGAGGGAAACTTGGCCTGTTCCATTATGAGAAAAGGATTCTGTCAACTTGGAGGAAGGGTCACATTGATTACTTTCAAGCAATGGGAGACCTTTGGACTGCTCTATGAGTACTACACTCAGAGACTATGAGAAGGTCCTCCATGCTTTGAAACATGGCCTCTTGTCCTCCAATGGCAAGCACTACTCCATGCAGAGATCTCAGATATGCAGCCTCCAAGGTCTTCAGAGCTAGGTACTCCAAGTATCTGAGGAAGAAGATGAGAGAACCAGAGACAATGAGACAGAAGTTGCAACAGTGGTTCTGCAGGTACAAGGTGACTGCCAGTGATGGTAGCCAGCCAGGACAGGGCCGACTCGATCCAGTCAAGACTATACCTTGTTTACTCAAGACACCAAGCCAGCTGTAGACAACTGTGTGGAGAAAGCTGCTCACTTGGCTGATCCCCTGGCACTGGAAGACATGTATGACACTATCCTGCCTTCACCCAATTCCAAGCACAAGCTTCCAGAGTACCTATCAAGGAGAGGAGAATCCAAGTTAGAAGCATTCCATGACAAGTTTGCCCATTTTGGCAATGGTGGAATGAGAAGAAGCCTTGCTGATGCACTCAACTTGGCTGGAACTGCAAGATACACCTCAAGATTAGACACAAGAGAGCTTCCTGTCAAGAATCAGCGAGGCAGAAAGGAAGTCAATTCCAGCTGGATGGGAAAGGTTGTTCCATATGGAACCATTCAGAGTGGCTTACCTGAATGAAAGGCACAAGCTGTTGGTCTAGACAAGCCATTTCCAAATGCAGAGCAATGCCAAAGGACACTGGAGAGCGATTCTTTTCAGACTTCATTGTTGGATTCAAACCTCACAGGCAGAAGTACTCACAAATGATTGTTGCTTGTGTACATTGTGCACCAGTCCAGTTGAAGCTTCACAACCACAACCAGTTCCACCACCACAACCGGTTCCACAAACACAACCACAACCGGTTCACAACCACAACCGGTTCCACAGCTCCAACCTCCACCACCCAATCCACCACCACAAACAGCTCCTCCTGTAGCACAAACAAGAAATTCTTACATTGGTAACCTGATTCTATATCAGCAACAACACCAGATTCAAATGATGCAACTTGCCTTAATGCAGCAGCAATTCCAACCAATACTGCCAGCTCCTTTCCAGCAACCTCCACCGAATGGTTGCTGTCACAAATACTGCCATTGGTTGACACACAGGAGAGGAAGACCACCACATGATAGATCTTGCCAAGCTAGATGGAATGGATATTCTGCTGGGTAGCAACAACAAAGATTGAGATACATACTTTCATATCTAATTTAGCCAGTAACTTACATATCATTGCCAATGAAATCAACAACCATAGTCTCACTCTTCATCTGAGTCAATGCCAATGAAATCAACAACCATAGTCTCACTCATCTCAGTACATTTCTTGAAGGAAATCTTCTTCTTGTAGTCAATCCAGTGGCAACAATTATAATGCCAAGCATCCATCACACTCTGTCCTTCGAGGGAGGACAACTCATAGCTCTCACTGACCCTTTCCCTCACTAACCAGTAGATGCACTCAA